ATTAATCTAACCAAAATTACAACTAAAACTACTACTAACTTTTAGGATTTATTCTGCGACCTCAAATGTCATTTGTAAGCTATTACTGATTTATATTTTAGCAACATACAGTGTTTTGATTTAAAATTGTTTTCTTCCAGGTCATTTTTATCTGCCTGAGTTTTGAGACTAGCTGGTACCGCATTTCGAGTTCCTTTTTTTTCGGCACACTTCAAGTGTATTTATGAATAAATAAATAAATAAATGAATAAATAAATAAATAAATAAATAAATAAATAAATAAATAAATAAATAAATAAATAAATAATCGTCGAATCGTTTAGCACAAATTCTCATCGGTGAAAAAGAAGAATTCCTTAGCTCACACCATACTCGTAATTCAATTTACTTTTATTCAACTTTTAGAAGCAACTTTACCACCCTTCTGAAAATAGATCGAAGTTTTTTTTATTAAACAATGTCCTGCCATGATGTGACATTACAGAATTTGTCCCGAAGCACCTTTAGAAAGTGCATAATTCTATTTTTTTTCAAAATAATCAGACGGGTTAACTTGGCAGTTTCTTGGGAAATTTTGATACGGAACTACGGACCAACCCAATGTGGTCAACCATATATGTAATACAAGATGAGTGTTTAATACAGCAATTTTACACTGCATAATTAGCACTGCTTACCGTAATCTCACTCTTATTCTTTCTCAAAATAGATCGTAATGATAGTCACACCTTTTTTAATGACTAGACAGTATTAGCTTCACAGTAAACTGGGAAAGTAAGAATTTTGTTGTTTATTTTCTTATGTTCTCACACACTGTACGAAGTTCAATCAAAAGATTCTCACACCTTCTACTGCTACTCAGTAGAATGTAGGTACTTCTCACTGCTGCAAATTTAGATTTTTACATAAAAAACATTTCTTGGTGTATGAAAACTGGAGACTTCCAACCCATCATTTAAATCAAACAGTCTGCAATTGTGCTGACAAGTATGCCCTCTGATTGTGGAAGAAAGATTTTCTTGGCAGATGTTCGTATTTTTGATCATTTATGATTATTGTTACGAAAATATTTTTTGTTTTCTTCGTTTATTTCCTGTTTTTTTTTTCGTTTGAATAGAAGGCTTGGATTTCAAAAGTTTGTATAAGTTGAAGTTTACAACCCATTGAATGCAGTTTTTCGATTTACAAAATCTGGAGAGGCAAACGTCCTTTTATTATGTTATCAAATTCCTTAGGGTAGTGTAGTGTAGTAGTGTAGTTGATAATATGTAGCACGTTGTAAGCTACTACTTCTTACTAGAATTCTTTTAATTTGAAATGCAGTTGAATTTTGGCCCGTTAGCAGGGCTCGGCACGAAACGGCATCAGGGAAATTTCTAAACGAAATCCCCTTTGACCCTAAACAAAACTCTAAAAACGAAATGTCGTGAAAAAACAAAAAAAAAACGTAATTTTTGTGTCTTTTCGGTCACAAAACGATTCCCGTTAGCTTTATGTCCCAAAAACGATATCTAGCCTAACCGGTGGCAGCTGTGCCGAGCTCTGCCCGTTAGGGATTGAAACGAAGCAGATCTTGAAGTAAACACTTGGTTTTGCTTTTCGAGAAAGCCATCAACTACTTAAACACTTTTCAACAAATCCGTTCTTTTTTTCTTTGTCAAAATTTATTGTCGTTGAAATCACTTCTATCTACTAAAAAACAAGAAACTGTAAATAATGAATCTTCTACCTCTACAGTAATACATGGTCCTTTTTTCGAAGACCCGTTTGTGTATTGAGAGGAAGCCAAATCTTCTTCATTTGGCTTGTCTATATCTTGATTCTCCTCATATTTTTTGCTGCTTTTCGGAATTCTCAGCGTCAGAAACCATTTATAGTATTTTCTCACACTGCAACATGTTTGCATAGTAATTATAGGCAGAATATCGGATTCACAATATCATTCCTTGCGTCATTGGTCGTACTACGTACACCGATGATATTTTCAGCAAATATAAATGCTAGTCACGTAACTGAATCATGATAGTTGTCGAATGCAGAGCGGCGTATGGCTAATCCTTGTTCTCTAGAGGGCGTAATTAGCCTTAGCCTATACTCGCGGTATCTCATTGACACAACGCTAGTTCGTTCATGGCTTGGTATATTTGTTTGTTACATATTCTGAATTAGCTTTTGATATCGTGTCCACTTGGCGGATGTAGTAACCTGGGCTGTTTGGATGGAAACTAATTCAAGGGTCTAAACTAAGCTATTTCCAAGATTGCACCCCATAGGATTCTTTGGAGACCGAAAAATTCGAATCCGAACTCTCGCCCAGACCATACTCAGGCGCGCTCAATGACTTGGAAAGAGTACGGTCTGGGGGAGAATCTATGACTAAGTTCCCTGGCCAGACTTCGTACAGCTGTCTAAAAGCCTAATAATGCCCCACAATTAGTATCCAAGAAGTTCGGGTGCCCTGATTTTGGACGATAGTTAAGAAGCGCGATTCCAGCGGTTGTCCCCACTTAAAACCCCAATACAATGCTAAGCTGGTCCTAAAAATTATCTTATAAAAATGAATGCTATCTAATAGTAAAACTCTATAAATTAGACGATGTGCTTTAGCTCATAAGCTGTTCGAGGTTACAAATTCTGGGTTCCACTGGGAAAACTGACTAAAATAGGTGCAAGTTTGCTGTTAGTTGCATTTGGTCCTTCATCATCCATATCTCGAATTCGTTTCTTGATATCACGACTGAACCGATATTGTATCTTCTCCTAGGAATTTGAAATACTTCTAAAACCTGAAAAAATTTGTATATGTAAGTGCTAATGGATGCACATTCGACAATAAACAATAAGTAAACTTCTTTACATGCACCCCTGTTTTTCTTGGACATCCAACTTCAAGAAAAAAACTATAAAATGCACGCTATTGTTCTCTTTGACCTTCCACTCGAAACCATTACGAGCCGTAAAGTGAGCATAATCATAAGCTCATTACATTTTACGCATCTCATTTCAAACAGACTTCAATAGACCGTGTATTACCGTTGCTGTGAACAGTACAAGCCACAGAAACAATCCCTTGAAGTAATATCAATAGCTAGAAGCATAAAAACATGTTTCACAAAAACATGTTTCACTAAGTAATAAATTGTCACTGTAGGGCTTTTGTTTTTATATCGCCAATAAGTAGATGGACTATGAATTTTATTCTCATTGCATTTCTTAGGCTCGAAGTAGGTGCTTGGAAAGAAAAAAAATGAAAAAATTAGTTAGATACCATTTATTGGTGATTTAAGACTGGCTGCACCGTTCAAGAAAAAAATTGCTTATAATTTTCACGTGTACATTTGCAGATCATTTTGTGAATTATGCCAAGCTTTCTCTCTTTTTTTGTTGAGATTATTTGATTCTTTGTTTGGCCTTAATTTGTTCTTTAATTTGCAAGCAGGCAAAATGTAGATTCAAGTTTGGCCTTTTTTCCTCTTTTCAAAATTTTGCTTTCGGACTTTTAGAACTAATTTTAATTCCTTGTTCCCAACCTTTCATAATGCACTTCTTTAATTGTTGATTTCCCTAGATCGCGTAGTTCTTAGGAATTCCCGGCAGTGCATGTCTACTCTACAAATAGCTGTGAAAGTAATTCTTTGCTTTATTGATATGATTTTGAAAATCCTCTTTTTTATGACGTTCTTTCTGCAGTTCAGTTTATGACAGATTCTCAGGTCGTGTTTGATTGCCGTAGAAAGCAGAGTTTGCTAGTGAATTGCTGAATTTCTACAACTTGTACTAGGCTAGATTTCAGTCTTGACTGTATTGGCTGCCAAATGTTCCACTTTTTCCTCAAAACTGAAATTGGTATTTGGTTCTGCGTAAAAGGTAAAAACATGTTTTTCAAATGTTCCACGTTCCATAATGCACGTTTTTGCAATCACAAATTGTTTCTATTGTTTCAACTTGTTGCTTGTATGTAGAACCTTTAATATGCAGTAAACTGCATCTTTTCTTGCTGAAAGAAAAGCCAATTATGCAAGCCTATTGTTTTCGTTCTCAACGTTCTAAAATTTGATTACATTTCTCTGCTCGGTCGTATCCCACAACTGCAGAGATCAGGCGTTGGTTTTTCTAATGGCCTTCAGCTCTTGTTGTTTTTGAGGATAACTAGGCCAGAATACCAACTCTGATGTATGTCTCGTTCCAATTTCCTACTCAAACTATTAGTTTGGTCCATCACTATTGCACCAAGAATGTGAAAAACTCGTTTTGCTAACGTTTCAAGTATCTTCATTTGTTTGTATATATTTTGTAAAAGATAACAGATGCTTTACTTGACTATGCAACTTGAAAAATCTATTTGAATAAAGTAGTGGTATAGAAAAACTAAAGACGAGTATCGGCACATACATTGGGTCAGCTTGAAATTCTCTCAGTTAAAAGAAGAAAGCTCTAAAACAACAATCTAAATTGGAATAAAATCTTGGGTATGTTTGATCTAATTTTACCGTTTCAACGTTTGAAATTTAAAAAGAGCATAATTTGAATATTTTTATGTATAAGCTCGTATCCCCGTGATATGCCCAACTATAAGTTTTTGATTTTCTACTTCTGATCTTTTTATCAGATAAAGTCGTTAGAATTGGAGGGAAGAAAGATGATTTAAAAATTCTGATGACTAGACTAGACTCATGGATCAACCTAATTTCTTCAGAACTAATACTTTTGTCAAAAACATCTGTATACTGGCTCTTCCTTGAATGCTTTATTTTGTATACTGGCTCATCCATAAGAGCTATTATTTTGTAAAAAAAAAATCTATATAGCTCTTATCAACTGAGGCTAGTGACCACTCCGATATTTCCTCATCATGATAACTCAAACCTCGTAATCCTTTCCTCGCAAACTTTGAATTCGACTCGATTTTTCGATATGCGTCTGTTTTGCAGCCTTTTGATTTTCCTAAAAAATGCACGATTTCCTTAAATCTACTTTCGAATCTCCTATGAACATTTCAGATGATCCCGACTAGCTTCTCGGACGAGGACAATCTGCTCTACCTTCTTGGTGGCACTCTTCTCGTAGTTTCCGTAGTCATTTTGACATTATTCATCAAAACCAAGGCTTCACGTCTGAACTGGTGAGTTTGCCCTAAAAAACGGAACTGGTAACTTTTTATATAATAATTAGTTAAGGTTCGAACAAAATCTTGTTGAAATGTCTATGGAAGCTCATCATTATCGCTGTAAATCTTTCAACAGAACCGATACCGAAGATGACACGAGCAGTATTGACCAGTAAGTCATTTTATCACTTCAATTGAGCAATTGGCTCTAGAAATTGAAAACGAAATGCGACAATAATTATCTAAAATACCGCCGCAATGCCCTAAGGATTACTAATTGGAACTAATTGGATATGATTAGCCTAGACTTCGGTAGATAAGCGGAAAATAAATAACGCAGAAAAATCGTAGAAAATAAATAAATTTTGGGTGTACTCACAAAACCGTCGAAATTTGCTGCGTTAGTCATGTTAAAGGGTAAATCTTGTTATGGCCTATGTATGAGAAAAATTATGAGAAAAATGAGAAAAAGAGATGAGAAAAATATGAGATATGAGCAAAATATGGGAAAAATCTAATCGTAAATCCTATGAGAAAAATCTTAGCAAGCTTCTGGAATTTTTCGCAACAAACTTAGACTACAACAGAAATTGTCCGTCATTTATAATATACTATTTTTCGACAGAATTTACATCTCTTTTTGAGTTATCAAGTTCGGTGAACTTGACCCGAATCGAATAGAAACAATCTGATTAATAACTATATGCTTGCTTGCTTTGCTTGCAATTTGCTTTGATCACTATGCTTTTTCTTGTTTTGAAACATTATTTAAGCCAGAATTTCGCCGATTTGACTTAAATCCACGGACATATCTGCAAATCTTCAAATCTTCATACAATTTATCGCACTGCGGCGGTTTTGTCTCGATGAAAACTTTGCGATGGAAGATCCCTTCACGATGCTTTTTTCTCTAAGAATTTGTAGCTTAATTTTACTGCCGAAACTCCCATCCATTTTATTCGACTAAAATTTCAACCAAAAATGCACTTAGTTTCCGTGAGCGTGTCGAACGACCCACACACGACATCCATCCGGTCGCGGAACCTCTAGTTGTCGCAAGTCTTCCGACTGGTGACGTTAGCGGGAAATTCGTGATTCCGAGATTTTCACGAATAAGTCAGAGTATGTTCGCCAATCCGCAGCAAAGCCAGTTCGATCGAGGACTGTACCAGTGTACGGTGAGATTTCTAGCAAAATTCCGCATTTTCTGAACGTTTCAGTCGCAATTTCAGCCTCCTGACGAATCTGCATGTACCGATGTTATGGGAGCATCCGGATCTATCCAGCTTAGTCTGTCCTTAGACGCTAATCTTGGACTTCTTACTGTTTCACTAAAACAAGCATATGACCTACCAAGCAAGCGCCAGGTGGATTTCATTGCTGTGGTTTTTAAAAATGTCGTAATTTGGCTTGAACTTAGGATGATAATCCCAATCCATACTTCCGAGTAGCGTTGGATATCCCAGATGGAGCGAAGGCACAGCAGCAGACAAAAACATTCCGAGGAACGACATCACCGGAAATCGGGGAGAATTTTTACTTCCAAGTGTGTTTTGTACCAAAATTGCTACAAACTTAAGCATTCTAAAGACGGGATGTCGCCATCCAGAGTTGTTTGTACCAGCACCGTGCTAGTGCCGAGCCAGAGCTGTGCGTCGATCACGGTTCCAGCCCATCTGGGCGCCAGCACGACGCTGGCATGGTGTTGGCACTTGGGCATCTCTAGACTTAGCTTGAAGATTGAGAATTTTGCGCGTTTTTCGTAGATTATTCTAAGAAATTTTACACTTATGCATTTACAGATACCAGCTGCTCAGATTGCTTCTTGCCGTCTGGAAATCATGGTCTATGACTACGACCAGTTCAGGTCAGAAAAAACTATGACGACTTATTCTGATTATTTAAAGGAACTTGTTCTAGTGTTGACGAATGTGTCGGTTACTGCTGGCTCACACTTGGGCGACTTACCGTATCGCTTGATAAGGACACTCCTACAGTATTCTGGGCCGAAGTGTTACCGTATGACGAGAATGGAGGGGTAAGTGACTGCATATCCTTTCGTCTCGTATAATGTCAAAACCTTGATTTAAATACGTTCTTTGAAAAATCTATCACGCATTATCATGTCCAAAGAAACGAAATCTGTCACCTTTCCCTTTTTCTTCCATATTTATTTCTTAGTTTTCTAGTGGCATGAACTGGGATGTAGTTTAGGAACTATAGAAAATGTCTGGCGCTTTTTGAGTTTCTGCTATGTTCTGTCGATCTACAACATTCCCGATAAAGTGAAAATATATCTACAGTGAAAATATGCATTTTTTTCGAAATGCAAACACATGTCTGATTCAAAAGTCTTACGACTGATCTTACTTTCTGAACCTTTTGTGACTTATCCATGTCTTTATACAACTTCAAATTTCATTTCGTTGCACATTGTTGAATAGAAGCTTATAATCAATTTTACCTCCATGGTAAACCATCCTCTTCGCCTGAAAATAATGAAATTAGTCCACATGAGTTGTAAATAATATACGCAAGTAATTTCTTTTAGTTTAGAACAGTTGGAATAACTCTATGAACTTGAAACCAGTGCACAGCAAATTGCAGGAGTTTACATAGCAAAGAACTTTCGTACCCTTTTGGGATCACAAATTTCGATTGAGTAGCATTTTGGACTTTTTTCCCAAGAAATGTTGCTAACGAATACCGCGCAAAATCATGTGAAAAATTTTTTGGGACCGCCACTGCTAAACACATGAATAATATGAGAGAGATTTGAATGGTATGAATACTCTCACCGGAGACCGAGTTCTCAGTGCCCTACAGTAACCTCGATGAGAATATAGGCTGATCTGCCACTTGATTCACCTTTTATTGGTCAAATAATGAACTGACCAAAGCAAAGCGGGTCAAGATGAAGTTGATCAAGTAGATCAAGTACGGTACGTCTTACGTTGGGTTTACGGTAGCGTTAAGCTGATTCGGGGATATTTGACGTCTTTAACACATTGACGACTATGCAAACTTTGAGTTATCTGCCTTTTGGGACCAAGGCCTTTCACGGATCAGCCAACATTTTCCAAATAAAATCATGTATAATATCATGTGCAGTACATCTACGCTAGCTCTGTGAAGCTGACAGATTGGATGGAGGTTACTTCTAGATCCAGCGCAAGAGAAAACTCCTGAAGTGAGTTTGTCCCAGGATAACCGCCGTTTTACTAAATTCATACCTTGACACACCATGTGTGTCAAGCGGTCGTCAATGTGTTAATCTGTGCGTATCTCTCTCTACATTGGTTCTTTTTTCAGTCTGGCTATGGAGAAGTTTTATTCTCACTCGCATATCTTTCCCAAGCACAACGCCTAACGATGAACATTTTCAAAGCACGGAATCTACGCTGCCGAGGAGACGGATGTAAGTTTTTATGAATTTTCATAAAGTTTATGAATCTATACCTCAATTTCTAGCTATCTCCATGAGAGTATCACTTATGGGTAATGACGAAAAGCGTTTGAAACGAAAGAAGACAGCATCAAGAAGAAATGTGCGCAATGCACAATTTAACGAGTCGTTGACATTTGGAATACCAAAGCGAACCCTGTGTGATGTATCACTTGAGATTGAGGTTGGTTTGGTTTTGTCAAAAAATTTAGGTAAAAAGCAGCGTCTCGGCAAAATTTGTCCAGTTACTCACCTACTCGGACTCTTCTCGTCATCCATATCTAGGCTTCTAAGCGCATGAAAGTGGCAAAAATGAGCCTTTTTCGAAGCTTTCCAGGTCCGCATTCAATGAAAATATGCCGAGTCTTCCGCACCCCGCCTCCCTCTATCGGACCCCGCCCACTTACACGTACTTTCCAATGATTGCGGACCTGGAAAGCTTCCAGAAAAGCTCATTTTCGCTAATTTCATGCCCTGAAAAATCCAGATATGGGTTTCTGATGAGGAGAAGGCTCCGAACAGGTGAAAAACAAGAAAACAAATTTTGCGGGGATAATGCCTTCAAGAGCAATGTCAAAGGAGATCTGAGGAATTGGTTCTTGGAGCAGGTTGCTACGCAGACGGAAGCTCATCTTATTCATTCGTGGACTCTCAACTCTCGCTCATTATCGTATCTGGTCAATTAGCATCCTCAATTACGGTACTAGGCGAGAGTTCAAAGTTAATTTCTAGGGCGCAAATTGATTTTTAGTGCCGCTTGGCCAATGGCTTAGCTAGCTCAGATGCTAGACATTGCTTATAAGCAAGAGTATTCTATGCTTTTGTTTTTTTTATTGTGTTGTATCTAGGCTATACACGAAACGGGAACATTTGGAATGACTACAGAAGTTGTAGGACGGATGGAGCTTCCTTTACACAGGCATGTTCAACCTTACAAAAATATTTTATTCAATTCAACATGTATACCATTGCAGGTGTAAGGATCTGTGGAGGGCCATAATTCACGAAGAAAAATCTCAAGCACGTTGGTACTCATTGGAAGAACCATAGTTAACGACTGTGCTCAAACGCCGTTACATTATTTCCAAACTTTCTCAGTTGATCGTGAATCTCTTTCTTCACAATGATCTCCTCACATTTTGAGGTATGAGTTCTCATTGGTTGAATCCAGCAACGATGAATCTTCTAACATAAGTAAGAGGAGTTCTTTTATAACTACAGGTTACGTTTGAAATGCTAATTATGGTTTGTTTTGGATGTGCAGAGGTTGGATCTAATTGCGAATACTAAACTATTTTTCTTTTCCCTTTGCTTGGCATCTCAAGGGATAAGCTACAAATTTACTAAATCTCTGCAAGACCAAACCCTTAGCGTTCTTTTGCTGAAAAACATCGAATTTGAAAAGTGCTTTAATATTGTTGTTTTACCAGAAGTTTGAGTAAGGAGAGTCATCCTAACCTTGGAAACAGCTGAGAAGATTCGGCTTGATAAATAACAGTTATTTATATCCTACAACCAAATGTGTTTCATTTTTCGGAAGGAAGGGCTAGTTCTCTATCTCTTTTCAATCCATTCGAAACCTGTAACATCATAAATATTGCTGTGGGTCCTATGCGGCAGAATCTCTAATATGTTCTTTTCCGGGTTATTTTCCATCTATCTGGTGTCTGTATAGGATTTTCTCAACTATGTCTTATTTTTCACAGTATTTGTTGACATCTGTACGTATTGGATGTGTCGAATAAACTCTATCAATTTCAGTCAAAATGAATAATTCATTGGGAAGATGAACAAATATGCTCAAGAAAAATTATCAGAATGTTATTATTTGTCTTTACTTCGTTCTTTCATGGAACAAGACAAGACACGGTGAAATATGTAGCTTCACAATTTCGTGAATGATTACAGTACATTCTTCTGAAATTCTTAGGCGAGATACGAGGTGTAGTGCCCGCAACTACAGTATCTCTTTCCTTTTTCAAAAAGCGAATGATGCTTTTGTAAGGACTGAATCTGCTGTGAAAGAGTAAGCTCATGTTCCAGAGGAGTCCTGATAAAGCTGATGTCTCCTTCAAAGCATGAGGTATACAGTTAAATTATTGCTAAAATATTATGAATTACTGTTTTCAAAAATTTACAAAAGCATCAAGAACGTCGGTCTCCAATACGATCTCCGATAACAAGTGAATGAGCCTCTGTACCAGCACGCACTTTACAGTCACAACATGTCGCTATAGCCAACGTTTTCGGTTCCCATTTTCCTCTGACTTTGTGGAGGACATCTATAGCTCGGAATTGTTCCACACATGATCCCCAACCTAAAAAAATACGTTAAAAATGCGCAAACACAAAAGTGGGAGGATAGCTGAATTGTCCCACCTTGCTTTTGACACACAGCATCAATTCAAATATCTAGCTTTCTCTTATGACGAGTTGGCGATCTACGTTACCTTCATCAAAAAGTTGGAATTTTCAAATGCTGCGAGTGCCCCTACTCTGGGAGGAAAAGTTACGATACGTGCGCATGTTACATAGTAGGCCTTGTAGAATCCAAGTGCCTGCGGCGCGCTTTGAACACCAAGGCGCCGAGCGGCTGGAGACGTGGAGTCCCGATGCGATACAGGCAATTCACAGGCGATAGTGAGCGCGCACCTCATTTAGACGCTCAAAAACACTTTGAAAATCTCAAAAACATTTCTGGCCAAAACATAATGTGCAACGCTGAGAACAACATGAATGTTGACCGGAAAATTTATGAGCGAATGAGAACACCTATAGTGCCTCGCGACGACCGCTCGCTAGTGTTCAAGATACGCGCGGGCAATTAGGTTTCACGAGGCCTATACTCCTGTAGGGTTATGGCAACGCGTGTTTCTCGAATAGCTGCACATTATACAATGGCGTCAAAAAAATGCTTTACATCAAGCTCAGAGAAGAGATCGTAGTGTAAATATTGGAGGAGAATGGGTGTCATGTCTCGCGATGCAAGGCTCTCCTCGAACACGAAAGCCGGGAACATCGGTCGCTGCGCTTTCCGCAGGCGATTGCGGTAGCCGACACGCGTGTTGCCGCAATCGCCTCCGAACCTCTCTTTGCTGGCTCGTTACCAGCTCGACGGCTATAAGTAGCGCCACCTCCTCAGTTCATCAGCGCGTTCGACTTTGTCTCTGTTAATTTCTGTTCTATTTTCAAAAAAGATTTCAGCCGCTGATATGCTCCTGCTCTTCATGAAAAAGCAATTGAGCAGGATGCCGATTGGAAGATGTTTGGAATGGATCGGTTAGCGGAATCGAGCCGTGCTGATGTAAATTTGAATTTGAATTTGAGAAGGTTGAATTTGAAATAGAGCAGGAGAGCCAACACGCCGTTCTCTCAGATCTTAGCGTTGCGCGGTGGATTTGTTGTGTGAGTACTCGAGAGCCATACCCGGGATTAACTTCTAGTCAGTAGCACAAAATCCCGTGTTTGTTCATACTTAGGTAGTAGTAGTCTTTCGTTCAATAGTTTAGAGATGTTTTTTTTTCAGCTGTAGTGTGATGTATTCAAAATATTTGATCTGCGTTTGTCGAGCGTTAGGTCGCAGTGGGATAGGTACATGGTTCGTTATAGCGCGTGCACTAGGGAAAATTTTGATCTTCAAGCAAGTGGAAAATTGCCAGCCACGCTTCTCAGTCCAAAATCCCCCCCCCCCCTCCCGTCTAAAAAAATCTCTGCCGCCGCCATCTAATGCAAGATGTTGCAGAGGGTAGGCAACTAGATTTAAAGTACTAATAAATCCTTTGTGATGTTACGTGCTGCTTAGCTGCTTATAGACATGAACCCGAGGAAATAGTTAACACCTAACTTACAAACCACGTTCTTTAGTTCATACACGAAGTGTAGGTAAGCGTTGTTGCGTACCTGACAAACAAAAGTCGCCCTCTTGACAACTCGCTTCGTTAAGCCATTGAGGGAAATAATCATCAGGTAATTTTCTCCATACCCAGCATAATCCTAAAATATCAAAAATGCAATTGATACGCTAAGGACTTTGGCGTTGATTTATATCTAGATTACTAATAGAGGTGTACGATTGATGAAATCATTAGCTTAACAAATTCTTAGACGAATGTTATATGTACTAGAATTTGGTAACAACTATCTATGAGGATCCCACCACACAGCGGGAGCAAGTTATCGTCAGGTTCTCCGCGATTTGTTTCACCACGATTGGTGCAGGAGATACTACCTCGTTTACCAATGACTGGTGAAGATCTTCGTTTGGAACGCCTTACTGGAAGTTGATCCTTTCTAATAATTTTGCCAAAATTTCTACAGGAATGAGATACCTGTTCTGAAAGGAAAAGGAGGTACTGGATGTGGCGGATGCGGTGGTGGAGGTGGTGGTGGAAGCGGAGGAGGCGCTACGGGAGGTGGAGGTGGAGGCTGAAGAAGATGCGAGTAAAGTGCGAAGTCTTGTGATAAATGCTGAGCTACTTTCAAAAAGCAAGGAGAATAATGTTCACGATGATTTTCATGTTCAACTCTCCATAAACCTTGGCATATTGTAAATATTTTGGTGCTGCTGAGCCAGAACCAAGATTGGGTTCCGGCTACAGCAGCATCAAAATATTTACGATAGTTGCTAATTCGAAATTTGACCTAGCCCTGGATCTTCCACAATTAGACACTTTCACTGCTGAAGTTTTGCAAGCGAGCGCATGCAAGACGTTGAGGTGTTTGGCAATAGTAATTGCCGAGCTTATAAAGGTGTCGCGGCTCAGCTGTGCGAGCAGATCCTTCTTAGCGTTTGGCTGGGAGCGCTGTATCCCACGTAAACGGCAGTGTCTATGGTACCCGCTGCCGGACTCCTCCACTTATAGACTTCCTTATGCGCTGAAGGAAGTATATAAGTTGAGGGGTACATAAGGCCAAGTAGAGGGATTTACAAAGCCTTGCTGATAGGGCGCTTGATTTTTCGATTCTTGTCATTATCATTTATTGTAATATCATGCTTGGCTTCGTTTTCAGCAGCTCCCGCATGAGAGATTTTCGTATGGTGTGTTTGAGCACTGTGATTTTCAGGTTAGAGACGCTTGAGCGAGAGTTCTTGAGTTCTTGTTGTTGGATGACAACGTTGTGAGAGTGGAGCCGGGGCCACTCCGTTCCATAGGGACGGCCCTTGCGGTCGACCCAGCTGTGGCCGTATTCATCAACGAACCCTGAGGGTTAAGCTTACCCTCCAGGGTTAGTTTAACCCTCAGGGTTCATTGGCCGTATTCATCAACCATAGGCTAGGGTTTAGCACGGAACGCGATCTACCCGTATCGATCAACGAACCTGTGGCCGTATTCATCAACCCTGAGGGTTAAAGTAACCCTGGAGGGTTAAGGCGTCAGTTATGCGTGCGCTGTGCAAACCCACATCACAGAATGCCTAAGTACGGGCTAAATTCACTTTATACTTCTATTCTTTCACCTATAGTAGTGTAGTCAACAATAAGCTTCTAACACTTTTTATAATACACCTCTAGCATACTTGTGCAGCATCCAATCTTACAGCGTGAGTTTATTTTCATGTGTGCAATTGTGCAGTGTAAGTTCTACTTTTGCGCAGTTCGTTTTATGCCGGGCTTGTGCTACTCTTTTAGGGGTCAATGCCTGTTACTATAAAGGGGTTCTTCTGTTTTGGCACTTGTCAGAGTAGAATGCCATTTTTCTTCGTCGCATTCATTTGTCACCAAAGCTAGCATTCTTTTTCTCGCGAAGTCAATGTTTCATGTGCTTCGAATATGAACATAAAACGAAGTCGAAACTAAATACTATAACAACGACCAATACTAAATACTACAATACTCGTTGATCGTTTTCCATAAACTATTAGATGCGAGTAAATGTTTTTATGAAATGTTAGGGTAGAGTTAACCTTGCTCTGAGCTAGGGTTAAATTAACCCTGATGAATCACGTAAGTTTAACCCTCCAGGGTTAGTTTAACCCTCACGGTTCGTTGATGAATACGGGTTAGTCGCTTTCGGGGTAAAATTAACCCTCAAGGTTAGATTTAACCCTCAGGGTTAAGCCTACACTGTGTTTCATGAATACGGGTTAAACGCTTTCCAGGGTTAAACTAACCCTCCAGGGTTAGTTTAACCCTCGGGGTTCGTTGATGAATACGGCCACTGGAGGAACCCAGAACCTCACTGTATAGATTAAGCCTTGAAATATCGACTGCACTGGACGACGCGGCGAGCGAGGGATAATTTGTCGAATTGCGAGGGAATGAATAGTACAAGGAAGTCATGAAGTTCACCAAAAGTTCAAAAAATTATCATCGGGATGAGACTTACCGCCACAGGAATTGGACGAGGTGGTGGTCCAAAGGGAACGGGTGCTGGAACATTATATTTTATCGGCATGTCATGTGAAATAGATATGTGTGATTGCTACAACCTTACTACATCTTGTCTGTAGATGCGGTGTGCGAGTCCTGATATATGAAAAATACAAACTATCAAAAATGCTTACGAGGAGGAGCACCTGGAGGCGGGGCCACAGCAATACGAGGACGAGGAAGAGGAGGAGGAGCAGTCGCAGGAGGGGCTAGTGCTGGACGAGGAGCAGGAGGAGGAGCCACATTTGGCCTGGGAACAGGCGGTAGTGCGCGAGGAACAGGAGCGGGAGCAAGGCGAGGAGCAGGAGGAAGCGCTTGTGTGCGTGCCGGTGGAGACGGCCCATTTATCTAAATTTCACCTTGTAAGAAATCGATCTTTCGAAATATCGGCGACTTTACATCAAATGTATGTACATCTATGTCCTTCTATTCAGATAAAAGCAAAAAAGCGCATCATCTCTGTCTCAGTCATGGTGTCCCTCACTGATCGGCACATCCACCTTGTGAGCGCCTCGCGATCGTTCGCGGGCGTTTAGCACAAACAGTCAAACTGAGCTTATCGATCGGAGGTAGAAGGAGAGGCCCTTATGCTGCAAATGCTCAGCCGCGCAGAAAGGACACTGCTATTGAGACGGACTGCGCGTAGTCTTGTTAACGAAAAAATGATTGTAATCTGTACATCAGTTCAAAAATCTGATGTTGTACATGTGAGCCTAGAAACTCGGAATAGATTCGTTGAAAAGGTTTTAACTTCTCGAAAACTTCAAAATCATGTATCTATCGACCGACATTACCGAGAAGTCTGAATACAATAATGCATTCTTATCAGTTCTCTAGCCAATTAATCCTTGCAGCAAGATACAGGTTGTACCTTATTCTCTTCTATCATCTCCGTGTCGTAAGAACTTCTCTCTTCCACAGTCAAAATTCAAGGTAAAACTTTAACGGTCAAACAAACTCCCGTATCTGCCTAAGGCTCTCGAATGGTCAAAAATGGCAAGCTATGAAGTGTGACGAGGATAGCAATCTGTTTAAAGCTATCAAACTATAGACAGTCAAAGTTGCCAAAAAAACTGAAAAATGTCGGTTTACCCATTATCGCTAAGATTCTTGACAGACTGCAATTATGAACTTACCGTATTCGTGCCATCGAAGGCAACTCTTGGCTCTTGTGGAGGGTTCCACCAACCTGAAACAGGTACTCTGACGAAATGTTAACACCGTGTTTTTCTAAGAGCAATTGAGTGCCACAGCAAAGAAATTTTGCTGCACATCCTAATGGAACTTAGATGTGAAAGAAAATCGCGATAATGTACAGGGTTTTGGAGACAGGTCTTGAATGGAAACTACTGCTGATAACTGGTCTACGTCATGGGTTTTTGTCGATTCTAAACGAAAGGTGGCTTCACTGTTATTACAACAATGATGACGAAAACACTAATCTGATTCACCTACACTAACCCCACATCTTCATTCGCTCGTGCACTCGTTCTGTTACTGTTCGCATTTGCACATTTTGAGCAGTCACTAATCAACTTCGTCCCTGTTCTTTCCCAACAATCCTTATATTTGTTGAAAACTTACATGCTCCACTACTACGCAAGCTCACAGCACTCATAAAAAACTCTTTGTTAGATTCGTATTAGAAATCTAGTCATAGAAGAAGTAGCTTTGAAATTCTATTGTAAGAGAAACTATACGTTCTAGTCTCTGTTCTCTCATTGGGTCTATAATTAGACACTACTCCAGAAGGAGAAGGTAACCATTGCCATTTACACATTCCACCCGCTTTCTTTTCAATTTATTTGAGCCCTGTAGAGGCGGAAAAATTCATCAGTCTCAATAGGAATTCCTGCATGCTTTCTGTGATCCATTAGGGTTTCGGCGACTGATAGTCTCCATGGTTTATGCGACATGATTTTAATGTCAACTTTCTTTTTAGTGGACCGAGTCAAGTAGCTAACCCTACTACAAGATGGAAATGTATTCGCTTTAGATGATAGATTTTTTGATTGTAGACATTAGCTCAGAGATCGCCGGGAGTAGACAGCTATGCGATTTATATGCAAGCGCCACCGGAAAAATAGTTTGCTTTTTGCGGTCCGCTTCAGATATTCGGAAGACTGTTGGCCAGTTTTTAGCGGCCCTCAACATTGGCCCTCAACATACTTTCTCTCCGCGGCCCTGTACATTCCGCGGAGAGAAAGTACCCCGAAGGGTGATAAATTATCGATAACCCCTCTACCACTATAGAGTCTTACCTTTGCTCGGCGTAAGCCCAAAACTGTGTAAAAGAGCCCGAGCGCCTGCTGAAAGTTTGGCTAGCTCGCTGAAAGAAATTATCTGACGAGCGCTCGCAGAAAATTCTGTTTGCTGCCCGCTGGCAGATCATGCGACATCAAAGAATGTAGTGTTGGTGGAGGTTTGGCCACCCAAAATTCTGCTGACCGCTTGCAAGAAAGCGAGAGTTTGCGGTCTGCCTGCCCCCGGCGATTATCTGAAAGGCTGGTGCTGGTTGAAAAACTAAACTTGAGCTGCTCTCTTCGAAGGCTAACTAAGCTTCTGTTCAACTTGCACTGGAGACACTCGTAGTCGTAATATCAAAAGAAAGATGACGGTATGATATTTACAAACCGGCTTAATCCATGTGGCAATCGTATGGACCATTGCCGATTACTCTTACTTCATATTTCCTTTGATCTTGTCACACATTTGAGTTGTTGAGTTCTTCTAGACTATCTATGGATCTAGAGAAGTCTCTGCTATACTCGATTTTGACCTCGTACCATACGATCACTTAATCCTGACGCCGTACTCATCATTTATACTCTGAGGTAAAATCTACCTTCAATTTAATTAATCATTCATTATCAGCAAATATTTTCAAAAGTACGAGATAACTTTCCGGAATTAATTGTACCTTTGAAAGGTTCTGATGTTAAATGAAAAGTTCTTTGAGCCGAAATTGACGCCAAGGTTTTCATGTCACTCGTGATCGTATCCATCAAACGATATGCCTTGATCTTGAAGTAGATTCTCCATGCAACTTATAACCCTGGCCAGAGGCGTTAAAAGGATAGCTTTTGAGACTTGTAAAGTCGTGAGATTGATGAGAGTTGTGGGGATGCAACAAAGTTAGCAAGGAATGGTCAGAACTCAGTTCAGGACATATCAAACAAGCTATATAACATCGGACTCGCCTTCAAACGCTGATCTCAAATATATGTTGAACATCTGGCTAACAATTATCTGGGAGAAGCTGTGAGCGTTTGAATATGCGGTTTTTCAAGTGTTCTGTGGCGCATGTTCCACGAAATACTTTCAGATAATTTTCACAAACAATTATTTAATTTCTGGTGAATGTGCTTCTTCTAATAAGAATAGCTGTAAATGCGCTCCATCAAGCTGCCGTTTAACAACTGTATTTGTTGTAACTTTTCTCATATTTGAACGCTCATAATTCCATCCAGATAGTCGTTCGGCAGATAATATACATATATTTGAAATCAGATTTGCAATGCGACGCAGACGACTTACAGCTTATTTGGAATGGTTGGGTTAAGCTTTGACCATTTCCTCGTTAGCTCAAAGCCTCTGTTTGTAACTTCCGACTTTGCACTGCTAACAAGGGCCTATAAAATTGCTTCTATCAAGCTGGAAGAAAACATGCACATATTCTAATTTCTCTCACAACATGTTGAGCGCAATAGTTATGTTGCACGCATATTTGGAATCACTTAGAAAACGACTCTGTTCCCATCTTTCCATCTTCTTATTTTCCCAAATGCTGAATTCTACAACAAAGCAGCATTCAGTCCCAAGCTGACTGCTCAACTCAAAATCACTAAGTGGCAGAATGTTATCTATTAGAATCGCATTTCAACAGCAAGAAAATGTCGGCCTTAAAGGTAGTGTCCCGGCAGATTCGCGCCTTGAAAGATATTGCTATGGTGGGGTTTCTGGCCATTCTACTGACCGTCAGGCGCAGTCCGACTGGTTGATGTTCCCCCTGGCCAAGAAAATAGTCCTTGAACCGGCGTGCGCAACCCTAATCGGAGCGCGCTTGGACGACTTCGCTTACCGTTCGGCGCGGGACCTCACGGCCGATCTCCCGCATTGTGCATGGTATCCAAGGCAAAAATTACAGGCAGCAGGGTCATCGTGCCAGGGCCTCCCACCTTTATGTTGAAATTCTCATACGGCCTTTTGGAAACCGGGTAAACGCTCCGAAAAAGGTCTTTTCACCCGTCTCCAAGCCCAAATTCGGGGTCCACGGGTCGAAAAGGCCCAAAACTTGCAAAAAGATGGAAATGCGAAATCTGTGGGACGCTGCCTTTGATACAAAAAATATGTGGAAAGTTTAGCTGACATATCATGCTCCTGATATACGTCAGTTCTCATCATCTTACATGGTCTAAACGAGCTCAAACCCTTTCTCTCTCTTCTTATCTAGGAGCTGGACTTGAGCTGGTAATGGATGTTTTATTGTTTTTTGCTACTGTTCATGTTTCAAATGTTTTCGTTGTATGTTCTAGATGTGGCACGCCTTGTGTGAATAAATAAATAAATCCGGGCACATATACAGGGTGTCCGTAAAGTATGTATACACTGTTTGATCGTTAATATCTCTTTTCATAAGAAGTCTTCTGCCTTGCTTCAGGTACCATTTTGTAGAGCTGGCTTCAACTTAGATTTACAGTATAGAACGAATTACCCATCTCTTTTCATTACGGTAGGATTACGGTAGAAACTTGGGACATATGGTGTCAATGTGGAAAAAGCTGCTGTTTCAAAATTTTTCAAAAAATGTGAAAACTTGTGTAATAGGGTTTTTACGGACGCTGAGTTCAATACTCAACTATTCACAAGATTGCGAAGCTTTCTAAACGGTGTAACCGCACTTTTTAGGTACATTGAAAAAATGGCCACTACCTCTTACCTGGCATAACTCTTCAATGAAGCATCATAATAAGTTGGGAAGTTTACAGTTAGAATCAGCAACTCTAACTAGCCTAGTATAGAAGTTTTCAGGCTGTTTTGTTTCCTTTCTGAGGCAAAATATGGCTTTTCATGGCTCAAAACCCTCTTCGAAGCCTCCACCGTAATCCTACAGTAATGAAGAGAGATGGGTGATTCGCTCCATACTGCAAATCTAAGTTGGAGCCAGCTCTACAAAATGTTACCTGAAGCAAGGCAAAAGACTTCTTGGGAAAAGAGTTATTAACCATCAAACAGTGTATACATACTTTACGGACACTCTGTATATCTAAACTGAAAAGAAAACTTTTATATATACCAAAATAATATCTTGAGGTGGTAGATTGTATCTTAAGATAAGGGTTGTTTCATACTGCGGTCGCTGCAGCAACGACAGTCGATCGAACGATATCTTTTGCCCGCCTTATGACTGCAGCCGCTGCAGCGACTGCAGTATGAAACAACTCTAAGAGATCACTTTAAGATAACTTGCATTACAGTGTTTCATTCTAATCTTATCATCGCAACTGAAAGGCATGGTGGGATCTGTTGAATAAGCTTTTTTTCTATGACCAGTCGCAATGAAAAGCACACAGTAAAGCCACACATCGCCAGAAGATCTTCCTTTGCGCGCACACCATTTGGCGTTTATTGAATTCCAAAACAAGTTTAGTCCACGACTACCGTTATTCTTTGATGCATCATACATAATCATTGTTACTCTCATTTGAACTCTTTGCAAATAAAAGCTTTGAATTCTCATATTTCTTCATAAATATGAATAGTCAGTCAAACTGCTTTCAGCTTCGTTATCACGACTGTTATATTGAAGTTTTGAGAGCAATAAGTTTACATCTCACGTTAGCACTTAGTTGTAGTGTTAAACAACTAACTTAGCTTCGCCAAATGTTGCGAGCGCGCAGGAGCTTTCTGGCGCTTTCGGACCCTTTTTGCGCTTTCAGGCAATTTTTGGTGAAGGTTGGCGGTTCATTAGGCCATTTTTTAACTAAGAATTACCCCTGAATCAGTGCGTTCCAAATCTAGCTCAGGTCAGAACGGCCTGGAGACTCTAACCACGGCAGTCTTTGTTTTCACATTTTCACACCCGTGCGAGTAAAATAGAGATCCTCTAAGCCGGAAGTTGTACTCTAGTGGATTTCGCCATTGATATACACCGCCAATCGTACTGGTATTGAGAGGATTACCATGGAGTGTCACTGTGTTCCTGCAGTAAACATAATTGGACTACGTATGACGGGGGGACTTTTGCTTGGAGATATAAATGCTGTCATAACTAGTGAACCAGTAACTGAAGGTGCTAGACCGCATCCGTGCGCTTCGGGACCGCACCGCGGTTTTCCGCTATATGATTTTTTGAATTGACACAACGATTCTTTATATATTAGACTAGTGAACCAGTAATCTAAAGGTGCTATTTGCAAGAGCGTTCGCTTTGGGACCGCCACGCGGTTTCCCGCTATTTGCACATTTTTGAATTACGCTTACGTTTATATATTAGACTAATGATCAGAGGTGCGATAGTCGGAGCCGATTCTCCGCCTACCTTCACTTTTGTGCTGGTACAGGGTAACCACCTTCACTTTTGGGTTTGAAATTTTTTTGCTAAAGCTCAAAAGAAGAAAAATAAGCAAAAAGAGTGTAAAAGAAAGTATTAAGAACATATATCTATGTAGTAGGTCGATCCAGGCAGTAGCCGCCGAGAACCAGAATTTCGAATGATGAAATAATGAAAAATCGTGAAAAATCATTCCACTGTTACAAATCTGCTGGCTGAAGACCTCCGCAGTTGCGACTTCATAGGTTTTGAAGGGTAAATGTTGTTCTACCAAACAGTGAAAGAATCAGTTTGATTTGAGGAGTGGCCGCCGAGAACGAGAATTTTGAAAAACCTTAAAAATCTTCTCAATTTTAGGTTGCTTAATGATAACTGACATTTAACCTCTTATGAATCCGGACTTTGAAGGTGTGTGATGTTGCGACTTCATAGGTTTTGTAGGGTGAGGTTTGCCCTATCAGAATATGTCTTAGCTGTACCAATCCATTGAAAAATCGCCGAGATCCAGGCTCTTGAAAAAGCAGGTGAAAAACCGTCTTTCAGCTTGTAACTTCTTCAGAATTGCATAATTTATGTTGCGACTTCATAGGTTGGATTCTCCTCATCAAGGGCTTTCAGATGATATATAATATGTGGGGATTCAATGTTTCTTGTGGCTCTAACCCGGGGTGGAGTACTCCTCTTCACTAATTCTCCACCCGGCCATTGCAATGTATTGGCGGGAGGCCGCCAGTGGAGAATTAGTGAAGAGAGGTACTCCACCCCCGGGCGTATGCCGTAAGAGGCGTGAATCCCCCACATATTATACATCATTTGAAAGCTCTTGATGAGGAGAATCCAACCTATGAAGTCGCAACATGAATTATGCAATTCTGAAGAAGTTATGAGCGAAAAACGGTTTTTTACCTGCTTTTTGAAGAGCCTGGATCTCGGCGATGTTGCAATGGATCGGTAAGCTAAGACATATTCTGATAGGGCGAACCTCACCCTACAAAACCTATGAAGTCGCAACATCACACACCTTCAAAGTCCGGATTTATAAGAGTTTAAATGTCAGTTATCATTAAGCAACCCAAAATTGAGAAGATTTTTAAGGTTTTTCAAAATTCTCGTTCTCGGCGGCCACTCCTCAAATCAAACTGATTCTTTCACTGTCTGGTAGAACAACACTTACCCTTCAAAACGTATGAAGTCGCAACTGCGGAGGTCTTCAGCCAGCAGATTTGTAACAGTGGAGTGATTTTTCACTGTTTTTTCATTATTTTATCATTCGAAATTCTGGTTCTCGGCGGTTACTGCCTGGATCAACCTACTTCCTTCGCAGTGCGTTATAACAAAATTTACTTGATAAAATCTGTGAAATCTCGCTGACTTTCACTTCAGAACACACCATTTACTAAACACGTTTATTTTAAATATACATATATGCCGCCGTATACATAAAACTAAGATTAATAATCTTTTTTTTGCGTTTGTTTTGCTCATTTTCCGCGCACTGGCAACGACCTGGAAGGGCAGGCTCAGTCGACGTTAACGCTAGCCCCCCCCCCCCGGTCGACGTTTTAAGAGGTGAGTGTCCGGCACTACCACCTTCACTTTTGGCCGGCCAGTGGTAGCTGGAACCACCTTCACTTCTGGGGGGCCCGGCTCCACCTATCGCACCTCTGCTAATGATCCATTGATTGAGCTAGTAGCATGCGCGCGCTTCGGGACCGCCAGCGGTTCCCCGCTATTTGCCGATTTTTGAATTGCGCTTACGTTTTTCTTATGTATTAGATGTGAAACTTGGATCTACTGTACAGTTACTTATTTAGCAAAATCTTTCACGAGCAGCAAGAAACTACATGCACCGCTAAGGTCTGACAGCATACTCTGAATAAACGCCAATGTTTATCACACTGGCAAGAATAGAATCAACCTCGTGGTATATTGATGAGTACCAATCAATCTCCAGGTACATTCTACCTCAAGGTGGATTAGCCTCAAGTAGATTTCACCTCAAGTTCAATGATGGATACGGCCGCTGAACTATTAGGTTGATGCAAAAATAATGGCCGTTGACTACGGGTTATTACAGCTAAAACTCATTCTACTTAGATATCAATGCACATACTAGGCTGAAATTTCACAGCCACGCTTCGAAGGCTTTGTTTACACAATACCTGAATTGGGGGAAAGGGGCGGAGTGCGGAGTTTGCAGATTTTCGATTTTCGTTTTTCCTCAAATTCTAAGCGACAAAAAAATACAGCAAGTGCTTGAATGAACTTTACTATGTGTGTTCTATGTGAACCAACTGGAAGACTTGTAGACCACTCCAAGCGAAGATCCGATTTCTGAGTTGGCCAAATGCTCACAGATTTTAGCATCAAACTTTACGTAGACCTAATGTATAGGTAGGCTCTTAGCAGCCACTTCATAGAGCTTGCTTCATTCTATTGAATGGTACCTCATTCGTATATTTCTGTATCCATATGCTTTGGTAGCGTATGCAACGGCCATTATTTTTGCATCAACCTAAAAGTTGTACTGTAAAATGTTAGTGCAATTTTTGTGACCAAGTAACGATCGATGACATGGACACAGTACGCTCTTTGTATGAAAATAAGGCCAGCCACATTTTGAAAAACTCTTTATACTTGAAATATACCTCGCTTTGGTGATTCTTCTCTTGGTGATTGTTCAAAAATTTGCTGCAGGGGTTGTTGTGTGCCTCGGGAACGGGGTTGTTGAAAAGACTGAGGCTCAGTGAACTGCGGTTGTCGAATGCTGTGTTGGGCCACTGGGTCTCTCTGCAAAAAAGCTGATTTGATTTTGTGCTTACACTTTCGAATGCGTTTAGTGTTTCAGTTCTTGCAAGCTTGTCACTAGTAATCATAGAGTGGACACATGGCAAAATACATGAATGCAGGCGCTGAAATTTCAGATCAAGGAAAAAATAGGCCATTAGTATGAAGTATAGCTTTTGCGATTTTGTAAGTGTTAGATTTTTCGATGGCCTGGGCACATACAGAGAAAGGATTTCAATAGTTCTATGCTAATAGACGGCCAACATTTTTTTCTCAATTTACAGCCGTGAACCGAATAAATGGATGTTCGTGTACGTAAATTGAAAACATATAGGGAGTCTGTGGGAAATTATGGCTTGAGCTTCAGCTTCGAGGCATTTATGTTTGTAGACCTTGGCTTCAACTTCACGCGGATAACGATTTACGCGGATATTTGATAGCAATTTGTAGAGCATGCCTGTTCTACCGAGCAATGCTTTCATGGATTTTTCATTCACACTACTGCTTTTACAGGAGAAATGCTCACTATTTTTGCACCCACTCAATAGAAGACTAGAAGCATGTTCAAGTTGGTGTTAGGAACAGCAAGAAAGGAGATTTGATAATTTGTAAAGCTGTTTCCTCCCACTATGGTCCGCCGCCTCATCGTGGTGTGGGGCTTCGAACTGCAGTGCACAGCCAAGTGTATACTCTGTAGGATTTTACAACCTGAGAAGGAGTTCGACAATTCCGGTTTCGGCCGGATGGTCAGCCAAAAGCGGGTCGGGTCAGATCCCCCCTGGCTTTCTATTCGCTAGGCGGCGCCCGCCCGACGCCCGCATAGCGATCGTCCCGTGGTAATCAAGAGTAAGTCTAGTAAATCAACTCTTGCAAGGAAAAACTTCTGTTACCCCACCAGCTAGAACAAGAGAAAGAACCCTGCACACAATTTTTACATAGAAGTCGCCACAACAAACTTGTAAAAGGACTTTTCGTTGCGAACGACCTCCGTCTTCTGACGTGGAGGTCGTACTCGTAGCATGGCTAGTCGAGGTGATAGGATCTCATGCGAATCGACACGATGGACGATAGATAGGTGGACGACAAAGCCAACGCTTCCAGGTTTGTGGCGGAACCTTCTCACCACAAATGGTGAGGGTCTTCACTCATCTGGAGTTCTTCTTCTTGGAGTTTTTCATGCAGGGCGATAACGTAGTATTTGAAGTGCTCTGCAGCATCGAGAAGGGCGTGGAGGTTGGCGTTTGTGGAGACTGTTCCGGCGTTGTAGGTGCATAGCATGAGGCATTATCCATGGCGTGTCGTCCGTGCAGACATGTGGTTTTGGTCCAATCCAAAAGGCGCCCTAAGCACCCCGACATTATTCTTGCTACCACCCGGCGCTGCAGAGCAGTTCAAGAACCACGTCATCGCCCTGCATGAGACAAACTCCAGGAAGAAGGACGTGCGACAGATGAGTGAAGACCCCCTTCATTTGTGGTGAGAAGGTTCCACCACAAAACCTTAGAGGCGTTGGCTTTGTCCAAACATCTATCGTCCATCTTGTCGATTCGCATGAGATCCTATCACTACGACTAGCCATGCTACGACTACGACCTCCATGTCAGAAGACGGAGGTCGCTTGCAAGAAGTCCTTTTACAAGTTTGTTGTGGCGACTTCAATGTGAAAATCGGGATGCCATCAAAAAAGGAATGTAGGATCGGGAAGTTGGGATGTGGGCACTTCAATGTGAAAATCGGGATGCCATTAGAAAAGGAATGTAGGATCGGGAAGTTTGGATGTGGGCTCCGGAACGAAAACGGCAACCGTCTCGCTGGGCTTCTCTCCGCCGCACGACTCTTCCTTGGAAATTCCATCTTCATGAAGAAAGAACATTGCCGGTGGACATGGGAATCGCCCAACGGAACGTCACTCGGAGATCGACCACATTCTCATTAACCGAAGGTGGAGCTTGCTCGATGTTTCAGTAGCTCCATCCTTCTGCAGTGGCTCTGATCACCTGATCCACCGCCTCCTTCGAGCGAAGGTACGATTCAGTCGAAAGCTGGAAATGAAATCTGTCACAGTGTCGCAAGAAGGAGGGAAGTCGTTTATAACGGTGACAGGCTGTAAGAGCTCATGTAAAGTTGTGTCTGGCTCATTGAGAAGGACCCACCGACGACTACAACCGACTCGTGAAAGCATTGCGGCCTGCGGAGAGTGCACTTCAATGACTTCCGAAAAAAAAAACTTGGTGAGCATTGCGAATATCACCAGGGAATTGCTCGAAAGAAGAAGATTTCTGAGGCAGGATCCCAATGCAACCCTCTGAAGCGACTGATAGCCAACACCAGTTGCAGAACTGCTTTGCAGGAGGATCTCAGGAAGTACAGGCAAGCCAACTTACTGGAAGCAGCTGGAGGAAGACGAATTCTTTAGTAGTGCCGAAGGGACCTCTGTGAATGTCACGTGACGCTGGCCGCATTGAATGAAGACGAGACCCCGACTTCTTCCCAATATAAGACGAAATCTGTCGCGAAGAAATTCTACACCAACCTCTTCCGCTTCAACACCCGTTCCGAGGCCCATTGTTCCCACTGGCGAAGCACCACCACGAATTCTACCTGCTGAAGTGCGCAGCGATTCAGACCATGGAGACGTCCACGGCTCCAGGATCAGACCATGTCGAATTTCGCCGAGCCGGAAGACAACGTCTACACGAGATTCTCGCGTCGCACCTGGCATCTTAGCTTCGGAAGAAAAGGATTCCGGCCAGTGGAGAACGTCAAGAACCGTCCTTCTCTTCAAGAAGGGTGAACGGGAAGATCTTCGGAACTATTTACCGTCCAATATGCATGCTGAGTCTGCTGCAAGCTTTTCACGAAGATCATCCTCGCTCGCTTAACTAAAACACTGGATGAAGCCCAACCCCAAGAACAAGCTGGATTTCGCAAAGGATTCAGCTGCATGGACCACATCCAGGATTCAGCTGCATGAACCACACCAAAAAGGTTCCAAGGGTCATAGAAGTCTGCCAGGTACCGACCGCCTCTGGTCCTAACCTTCGTCGACTAAGAGAAAGCCTTTGACAGCGTCGAAACCTTCGCACTATCGATCAAGGAGTGGATTCAATTTGAGAACATTTAACCGATTGCTGCAAGGACATTACAACGACAGTGCAGCCGTTCCATCGCCCCTGAACATCCAGTTTAGGGTGTCACAAGAAGACGGGCCCCTAAGTAAGTAAAGCGGCTTCTGAAAAAAATCATAATAGAAGGTTGGGAAAATAATTCTCGTTGATTTATTTTCAATGATACAAACAAATCAAAACATCAATCTTCTTCATAATAGATCAATATTTTCACATACAGAGTTGCATTCTATGGAACATTCTCACCTGTATCCAAGGTTTTCCCGCACTCATCATGCCTTTTCTTATCATTGTTCGGACATGCACAGGTACGGAAACTGGTTGAGGAGGGCTCTGAAGTACAGGTGTAAGTGTAGCTTGAAGGCAGCGTCCCGGCAAAAAGATGGGTGCCGGGTTTTTCTGGCGATGTTGATGTAGACTCCCTACCTAAGCGATGACTGGAGTTCGGAGCGAAAAAGTGGGTCTACCAAGCCTGAAATTCGCTCCGAAAGTGGTCCGAATCTTCTGCCTTGCGCATCTCGTACTCGTCCGAGCCTACCGTAAGATTCGGGCCACTTTCGGAGCGAATTTCAGGCTTGTTCGACCCCCTTTTCGCTCCAAACTTCAGTCATCGCTTGGGTAGGGGGTCTACTTTAACATCGCCACAAAAATCCGCCACCCATATTTTGCCGGGACGCTGCCTTTGAAAAAATCTACGAGAATACTTCCGACTGACATATGTGCCAGTTGTAAATACGTATCGAGGACACATTGAGGGGTTTAAACTGCTTCGGTCAAGGAGTTGCGTCACAGGCCTGAACAAATTCAAACAAGGTTGATAGCATAGTGAAAGATGTTCCTGTACCGAAAGGAACGGTCAATGATTCTTCTGTCGATAAGATGATAATAGAGGAGACTAAAGCATTGTTGGCATTCAGCTGTTCTGCAGAAGAACGGTTCGACCGTCATCAAACTGCTCGGCGTGTCCTATAATACCGAAACAGATATGTTTACTGTTAAGACGAAATTTCAGCAGCAAACAAATCTGACAAAAAATATAGTAAGTCAGATAGATCCCATTCATGATTCATTGAGCATAGTTCTACCTACTGCTTATAAAGCTCAGAGGCTGTTTTTGAGAAAGAACATCTTTTCTACTATACTTAGCAGGGAACGATACTTGGTTACCCCAGCCATTCATAATAATTTGTATATCAAAAATGCGCCTTTTAATGCTGGTTCTACTGTTTTTCATATCTGCGAAACGTGAACCCCTGGATGGAGTTATGATTATTTATTTCACAAATAAATTGCGCTACTGCGAAGTGTCAGAATCATCAAAAAGTTTCTTTTCTTTTCCAATGCTGAATATGACTTAGTGGGTATAAATACACCAGTATTTCTTTTAAGATTCTCTTCAATAGCGTTAAACGGTAATCTAAAACAAATTTGGTGATTTTAACTACTCAAAAGCACGCAAATTTTCTACGAAGAAAGTTCATAACTTCCTTCATCGTTTCGCAGATATCGAGCACATATTTAGAAACAGCGTTTCGAGGTGCACCTTATGGTATACATCGCATTCCACATGGCCGGGGTCACCAAGTATCGTTTCCTTGTTAGGCTTTTGTTTTGAACCACTAACGTGGAAAAAATACCCCAGCACTTAGGAAATTTGTCTTCGTTCCCACAGAACCGTGGTAGTAGCCTTAGGCAGACTATATTACATAGTGGGGTAATATTCACATAAATATCATCGTGTCTGCTTAAGTCAGGGAAGGTGTACATCGCCTCTTCAATGCTGGTCGCCTGATATCGTGGATCATAGACGATACATCGGCCGCTTTCCGGATGAAGGACGCAAGGGCACTAAATCCAATTTATCAGATAATACTTCACGTTAGGTCCCAGAATTGCACGTGTTAACGTCCTGCTGGCGTCGTTGCAGCGCCTTCATTCGATCGATACGGGGCGTGTCAGCGCGGGCGCAGGCACGACGCTAGCACGACGTTGACACATAATTTAAATGCAGCATCATGATAACAGAGGATGTATTGGACCTGTCGAATTTTGTTGCCATCTGTGCGTTGTTCTACAAGATCACGGAATTCAAGTATAGACGCAGCCTGAGCAGTTATGATGAGTAAGGCGGAAAGGAGAAGGGTGTTGTAACCCATCTACATTCCCAAAAAAGCCGGTCTCAGAGCGTAATCGTTCTGAAACACATGGAAAAGTCGATAGTTATTAGTGAATGAAATGTCAATAGCACAGATTGTGACGAGCAAATAAGACTATTTTGGAGGCACTAGTATTTCTCTAGTTGTAAGAGAAGAGCGAGAAGGGAGAGAAGGAGAAATCTGAAACAGGTTCGAGTAATTGAATGAACATTTACTGCAGGTAGCTGCGGTTGCGAACATAAGCAACCGAGCACTATATAATCATTGATAAATTTTCTTCAAGCGGTTCCTTTGCGGGAGCCGTTCTACAAAGAATCTCTTCTTTGGAATGATCAAGAAATCGCATGAACGCGCTTGAAAATCAAGGTTCTTTTGGAAAAGTTCTTCTTTGTTTTGTTTGCAAACCCGAACAGGTTGAGCTGCAAAACCGTGAATCACTGCATTTGCTTGCGTCATGAAGCGCATTGCTTAAAAACATGGGTTCAATGATTGTTTCTTTGTGAGAAAAAAGAAATTTGCAGCGGCATAAGTTGTATACATATTTTTTCCAAAGTTATCTATTCAGAATGCTAAAAAGAAATCAGTTATCCATTAATTAAAATAAAAAAATCACTTGCAAATCACCTCGCAGATCCTCTGTTTTCTACGAAATTTCTCCTGTTCTCATTTTCTTACAAGAAATCAATTGCGCGATAGGAACATCTGTTTCTAATGTTGAAGTGAAGAAGTCTTGATGATTGATATTAACCTGTCAAAACATCACATTTTATTTGATTGTCAAAGGGTGTGCACGCCTTCTTTCATGGTTGCCCTATTTGATCAATTATAATAACTTTGTGTGCGTTCTTTTTTCTTTTTGCTTGCAACGCTGGTTTAGAGTATTCATAATGTGAAGTGGTTTAAGTGTTTTATGAAAATACGCGTTGATGTGGAATTATGATAGAATATAGAAAAACTCCCAATTAAACCAAAAATGTTATGTTACATGAGATTTGGATAAAGTTTGTTGATCAAAAAAATCACTAGAGGTGGATGTGCCAGTTTTTTTTCACATTTCCATAGGTAAAAAAGCGTTTTGGAAAAGATACAGTCAAATTACAGTGATACATAGATTGAGAAGGCTCATTAGGAGACCACTGAATTATTTTCTATAAGAAGTGACAGTGTGAATTAGAGAAACAAACAAAATCAAGTGAATCATAAGCAATACAACATGAAACAGGTCAATGTTCTATTGTGGAAGATTGGAGCAGAAAAAGGTGCCTAATGCAAGAAATATAGTACAAAAAACTTTCGAAATTAAGAGGAAGAGGAATCAACTTGAGCTCGCATTCATTAGGGAAGTTCTTTATGATGAAAATAAAATTTCCTAATAATGAAATTTGCTCGTGTTCGTCATCATTTGAGAATTTTCCATAACTTATCTCATCAGATTATCTCTTGTTGATGGAACACGTTCTCAAATAGTTTATCATGTACACCAAAACTCTTCCCCGGCTTGAATAAACTATCTTTTTAGAGTAGATTCCCCAAGCTTTAATGGATATCTGGAAGGCAGAGAACCCTTCTTTCATATATATTCTAAAAATCACAACTAGCAGACATCGTGGTGTGTTCTGAGCAAAAAATTCGACTGGACGAGATCTAATGTAGTAAATGACGATTTCACTAACATACAGTAGCCATAACAGGATTATTTTATGCGTTTCCTAATGTTCGGCGAAAACATTTAAAAGTATGCGTTAAATTCACAAATGAGGAGACACGGCAGCAAATAGACTGTATAAACAGACGCTGGTGTTGTGAAACCAGTTCATCGAACGCAGACATGGTCAGAGGTTCCAATCTTGTACTTTGTAGGTGTGGCAGGGTCATTTCGACTGACTGATTTGAAATGATACCCTTCTTGCCTTCTTATCGACTTATCGCAATGTGCTATATTACAGTTGTCTTGGATGAAATCACTTGAAGAAGAGGTAAGATTTTGCTCCTGCATAATATGTGTATTTTCCCTTTTTATTCCATAGCTCTCCAAAATTCTCATTTCATCACCGATACTTCCTCTGCACGTAGTGATTCAAAAGTGTCAGCAATTGCCTATCGTGGCCGGAATTCACTGGTGAGCTTCTGCCCGCTACCGTACTCCGGATCGCTGATTGGTCCGAAAGAACGGTATAGCGCGAGCTTACAGCGTACAAAATTATTTGAGCTTCTTTTGACGGTGATAGCGTTTTCAGCCCTTTTAAGCTTCCACTTAGCAATCCAGAAACCCAAATCTGATCGAGCGCTTCAACTCAAGCTTGGAAATCGTCATTCTAGTGACTTGTGACTTTATGGCCTAATGCACTTGACAAAAGCGGACGCACGATATTTTCTCTCACTAGAATGCCTTGATTATTATTATCCACCAAAAAAGCCGATTGCGTCCACCTCCATTAGAGATTCGAAAGGTATAGTTATAAATAAAATGCATATATGAATCTAAGACTTATACCGCCATTTGTCAAGACTATAACTTGATATCAAATGGACTTCAAGGACAGATTGAGCCTGTAAATTCAATCTGTCCTTGAAGTCCATTCGATCGTGACAGCTCCTGGATATCAATATTTGTGAAAGATTCGAAAACCTTTTTGCTATTTGATTAATTGTAAGTTGATCGTAATGCAAGAGCTTGAGAATGTGTTTTTCTATACAATCTGTGCATTTGGAACGCAGTATTGAAGCGTTGACTTATGTAGAAAAAAGAGCATTAAGTAAATGGTTTTCAGAAAAACGTCGGAAGAAAAATCGCATTGCACTTTTGCGTTTTTCGATCGGCATGTTAACCGCATGATTGAAAGAAGTCAACTCGGAAACAGGCTTCCTTTCATTCACTCTGGAAATTCTGACAACTTCACTTCAACATTATGTATGTTACGTAAGTTGAGAATTCATAGCTGATCCTTCACCGCACAATTTTAACAGAAACCTGTTGCATTACATTAGTAATCGTGGTGCCTCAACGAGTGACGACACAAGTTTTTTTGAAATTTCAAATTGTGCAGTAGAGGCGAGGTTTATTCAGAATTACCCATAAATGCAAATGCGGAACAGGTTAGTTGTATGATAAGAAAACAAATGGCGGCTAATCTTCCAGTCAAAGCATTCGTCAAGTCGAGACATACAACGAGAAAAAAAAGAGAAAACAAAAGTGTATGAGAGAGCCTTGTGCTGTATAATATTAAGTTGTCCAGAAAGTTTTGTCGCCTTATTCAAACTATTATAAAACCAGGCAAAGTAAAGACCTGAATGTGTTTCAACATACATTCGATGCAGCTTTTTCTCCTCTTTCTTATGTTTTTATTCTCAAACCAAAATCCCCTTATACTTTTTGATAATTGTGAAATTCTCCACACGTAATTTTTATCTGCTCGAAGTTCGGCTAACTTCAAAAAAAAAATTCTCTGAAGTTTTGAAATGGCAACAGGTAGAGCAAATCTCGTACTGTACGGCAACGTTTTTAGATTCTCCTGATCTGCTATTTTCGGCCTTGGAAAATTATTCCTTAGGTCTATTTTTGACAAAGCTATGAAAAACGCAACTGCAGCAAAAATACACGAAAGCTTCTAAAGTTTCTGCGAATTGAAACATGATTATCATTAAACATTATTTATGCAACATAACCAAGTTTGATTTGCTTTAGAAAAGTATCGTTTTCGAATTTTCGGTGCTTTCACAGGAAAACGTATTCAAAAGCAGTCGTTTTTATTGAATTAATAATTATAACGGACTTGGTAAACGTGGCCCATGTAATCTAAAATGTTTACAATGTAGCTAGAGATTGTCTCTACATAACAGATACCAGCGCTCTTCAAAAACATCAGGATAAAAATTTTTATAGTCCAGGGAAGATTTGGCGTTACTGTTGAGCTGCCATGGCGATGACATAGCAAAGGCAGGGTAGATCAGAGAGTAAATATAGCCTTAAGAAAGAGGATAAAAATCTGGACCTAACGGTACCTAAATCGTTCATCCATTGATGTTGTGTAAGTTTTAGTGATCGATGGAAGAAAACCGGCAAAACTTACTGGACAGCCTAATATCTTCTCAAGGGCATTAAAACAGCACCTAAAACTTGCGAGGAATTGCCCACTCAAAATTTCGAAGTCACGCAGCTTGGATTTGCAGTAAAGTGAAATAACCGGTTTTGAAATTTTTTTTTCAATTCAAGAAAAACTTGTTTCACCACCTTGCGCCAATTTGGTTATGGCTGTCAGTTGATCGCATTAAAGTAGCTCGCGAAAAAAACATTTCTTAGATTTATCGATGACACCAATTGTGGAATGCTAGCCATTCGCCGAATCAACGTAAGTGCAGTGCAATTTCTCCATTTTACCTAAGAAGGATATCTTTAGACCTCGGTTAATTAAACAAAAAACAAGTGTTTACTCACGGGACTTTAAATTGGATGAACGAAATTAAACTTCAAATAACTGCTCGACTTTTGTCGTTCGTTAGTCGCAAGAATCTTTCATTCTAACTATAACAGAACTTATATCATTGTCTTGCTCTAAAATTCTTTTTTATCAAAGTAATAGGTTTGACGTATTATGGCAGTGTGACAGTTAATCAACTTCGACAATGAAATTATCTGCAAATTCAGCTCGAGGAAACCATTTATCTTAGAGGAATTCGCTTAGAAAATAAACCGAAACTTTCACAGAGGGCTGCGGAAGTGCTGCAAAACTTTTCGTTTTCAGACAGTGCGGAGTCAACTTCCTGCGGACGTTCTCACTTTTTACACTTGAATTTCTGCAAAAGTAAGTGAAAACTGAAACAATTGAAACATGATTCTCATTAAACATTATTTATGCAACATAAGCAAGTTTGATTTGCTTTGAGAAATATCTTTTCGAATTTTCGGTACTTTTACATGGTAAACGTAATCAAAAACCAATAGTTATAGAGGACTTGTTAACGAAATTCTGTGAAGACGCTGCAACTACTATATTCTGTGTGGCGGCAGTTCCAATGGATCGTCGTGTCAGTATGGATGTGAGTCGAAGCAAAAAGACCAGAAATCTCATTCAGACTTTTCGTCTTTCCCGTTAAAACTCTCCAGCTATCAATAAATTGTCCATGGCGGTTTTTCTGAACTACAATTGAACCGATGAATGGCACATGGTGTCATTTTCCAATCGTTTCTCTCGCAATGACCTTCAAAAGTTCGACTTTATTGTAGTGGAAACTAGCTTTTACAACATGTCTGAGTAAATCGATACAAAGCAGAAGAAAACAACTGCACTGATACAGCTGATGCTCTTAATATACGTTTATTCTAACTTGAAGGATTGGCCAGGTTATGAATTATATCTTCGGATTTCCGAAGAATAAATGAATTGAATTGAAGAATGCTGCATTTACCAGTGAATTTGAAATTTGTTTAATGCTCTAAGAGGGCTCACAAAAGATCAATGAATAAAAACTCAATGTTTATTTCAATACAAAGCAGATAAGCACGACAGTTCAGTTGTGAAAATTGGTTCATAATACTCCAACACTATCGTGTTTCTCGTATTGGAAGAATGCTTGACTATCTGACTGCAACATTTTGGCAACCGTTAATGCATCTTCGAGACTTGGACAGAATTGACTTTCTCCTGTAATTGAATTAAACTCGGTTCCATTGCTACATATCATGAAATAGAAGTGATTTACTTAGATGCTTGAAGAGGCCGGCTCGAGCATACTGGATTCTGATCGCGCCTATAATTAATTTAACATGCCTTCAATAATACGGTAATCAAAAGAAAACTTACTGTTTAATTTTGCAAAAATCAAGAGAACTTTCTTGTTCAACATCTCCTCGTTTATCTGAAAAAAAATTGGGTGATCAGGTAATCTTCATAACCGTACTGGGTATGAAGCTGGCAAACGCTAGGGTCGAAAATATTTGAAGGGAGCTAAAATGAAACTGCATAGGTTAATTATAGCGACGTAAAATCAAGCAAAGGAAGGAAAGCGCGCTCCAATCGAACAGAAGATAATAGAAATTTGGAGGACTATTTCTATGTCATTATAGCCATGCTATTTGTTATAGCGACTATTCAGTCTATTGAAGGACTTATCTTCGGATAGGGTTCGTAAGATTTTAGAAAAAAAATCATTGGGAGAGAAAGGGTCAAGGGTCACATTTGGTTTCGAAAATTATATTATAAAAAATTCAGAAAAACAAGGTTTTCCTATCTTTAAGCGCTTGAAAGATCTAATTTCTAATTTCACCATGCCGTATATGATAAATTGAAGTAAAAATGCGTCAAGTTTGTAAACTTCTCAAATTTTCAAAAACACTAAAAGCTCACTTCCTTGACTGCTTCTACACCCATAGCATCGGTATGAGTCCAAGATCTACAATCAACAATTACTCCTCTCCACTTCACATCTGTATTCTCGTTATCCCCTGAACATTACCAAGTCCTTCTTGCTAATGAAATATCGTCTGCTCTGCAGTAGAAACAAATGTAAGCCAACCGTTAAGTTCCCGTTCCATTGTACTTCGTATAGAACTCTTTAATAGTTCGGTATTTGTGAATATTACTGGAGCATCGAATCTGATCACAGGAGCTTCTGTTGAGACCGCAAGAGTATAAGTTGCCTTACAGCGGAACTTGTGCTCTCCAATTCTACCCAGTTGTGAAATTGTCGGTCTGGATTGAATCAGTATTTTTTGAATGAGATACTGCACCATTTTTTAAAAATAAAGTTTTTACCTCTGCGTTCTTATAATGATAGTCATCAAGGCTACGACAACACCACAGGCTAGACCTTCAATTATATCCCAGCAGAAAGTTCCAAGTGCAGTTGCTACCCAGGCTATCTCAAAAAATTTTTTTGATTTATTTATCCATCATGAAATTTTTTGAGGATGTTACATATTGTTTTTATCGAATTTACCCATTTTTGACTGTTACCAAAGTTATAACAATGGTATTTGGTCATTTTGCGAAATTCGTGCTAATTGCGTGATTTGTGGAATCACAGGAGCTTGCGAGATACGCGGGAATTTCATGGAGTTGCCCATAACTTCTTGACAAAACGAATTTTATGAAGCGGACTTCAACTGATTCTGTTGAGGATGCAGATCATGAGTATGTATACTGTACAGGAGCCCGTGAACAATTTCTGCAAATCCCTCAAATCCCAAAAAACTGCGAATCCTGAAACCCTTGAAAATGTACGGATTCTAGTCAAGATTGCATAAAGCTCATCAAAACTCACATGCATTTGAGAAACCTTTACTTACCACATCAGTTTTTGAAAACTTCCACAAATATGGGACTTCCGCAATCTTTTTCAGTAAGGATAGCAGCGCTACTGCTACTATAGAGCTTAGAACACAATTTGGCAGAGATTCAAGCACAGGAGCAATAAAGAGGATCACACAAAGTATAGCACAAGCAGATATGAGACCCGAAACCTGAAAGAAAAGTACTGGCACGTTACTGTGTAGCAATATTGAGTTCGTGCTCTAAATGAAAAATGAAATATTATAAATAAATAAAATAGAGGGCGGAGTTGAAGTTTTCAAAATGTAAACCTGTGTCTTTGCTCCCGCATTTTCATTGATCAAACTTCTTGAAAGAGATGTCGATGTAGGAAATACAGAGAAAAATGATGAAATGAAACTGGTTAAACCTAGTGCCAGCATTTCCTAAGCAAAATTTGGTGATTATTCCGCAAGAAACAAGCTCTTCAAACAACTCTACCTGATCGTTATCAATTTGATACTTATGTTTTCGAGCAAATAATTTACCCATGGAAAGTGTGACAACATAAGCGACAACGGCGATACTGACTCCATAGCCTATCAAATAAGGAGCTAATTCGAATCTGGGAACACTAGGGGCAGGAAGTCTAAAAAAACTAAAAATTTGCTTCCTTTCCCATTCATGCATTTTGCATCTCACCCTACTGGAACGTGGCTAACAATTTTTACACCAAAGCGCTCGTGAAAGTGGAGAAATCTTGACAATATCGTTGTCACTATAAGCTGAAAAATTGAACGTAGCAAATAAATCGAAAATACTGATTATGCTTGTTACCGCAATGAGTTCGGAAGGCAGAGGTATTTTTCTTCTAATCAACGGCGGCTCAATAAAATGTTTACACAAAAGAAGAAATAACATTGTTCCAGCTGACAAAATCACTGTAGCGACATTTGTACTCGGTATTGCAATACAAATGCCATATAATTTCTGAAATGGAACAAATTGGTTCACCTTTTTTGGCCGCGCTGCTCTGGCCAATAGAGGAGAATGGTGACCAATCAGAGACGCGCTGCAGTGGACGATACAAAAGGCGTTTGGCCTAACTTGCGCCAAACAAAATACTTCATTGTAAAAAAAAGTTTTGCAATGAGCAAAAGTAAGGTGCAGGATGTTCGGAGAATTTCCACAGCATATACTACAGCCGAAACTTTTCCAGACATTTGAGCAAATTTTCCACTTACGGAGAAAATGTGTAGAAATCCACTGGTTTTCCCTTCTTTTGCCTTGATTCCGAGTATACTTGGAATTTGTGCTATAAAAGCATGGACGGCGGCCCCAAATGTCAGTCCGGATACCACAGAGTCAGAGAGGTATGCAGAAAGAAAAGACAAGTGTAGAATCCACAGTACTATCTACAAACAATTCTGTAATTGTAACAATATGTAGTGCAGTAATTCCTGGAAAGGCGTGACAACAGGTAATAATTTTGCTGGAAAAGAAATCAACTTCCAGCTGTTTTCAAATCTGAAAGACGGCAGGCAGCACGCAAGACAAATAATCATCAAAATTATCAAACAAATTTGAGCACGGAGCACTTTGAAAGAGCCAAGAAGTTTCAGTAATACCTACTTTACCAAAACGGTGGTGGACCGAAAAAGTGCCCTCCCCCGCCCCCTCCAACCGGGAAGAAGGTCTATATCAGTTTGTTAGTCATTTGTAGACAAATCACTCGTTTGTGCTTTTGCATAAGCGAAATTTTATAGGTTATACAAAATGTTTTTCAATTTGTAAGTTATTTTTAACTGTCTTTTCCCACTTTTCAAACTAGGACTTCATAGATTCAACTTTTGTAATAAAAAAAGATAAAAACAGTGATTATGCACCAGCAAAAAAACGTTGACCTAATCCAAAAAAACATCAAATACGAACTTGCACCGTACCGGTTACGAACGCCAGCGCAATGATAACATCAACAGGTGTCAAGTCAGTCATCCCTGTAACAAAATTCATCAATTCTAGTTACCAAATCAAACGTTCTCAAACTATCATATACGGTGGTCCATATGAAATGTTACGCAAAACATGCCCATAACTCTGCTTAGAGCCATTCAAACTTCAAAAACTTCATCTGTTATGAAAATTTTGCATATGCCCTACTGATCAAGTCTGAGAATGTTGCTTCTGACCCAGATGCATTCATTCAATCAGATGCGGGCTTTCATTTTCGGTATGCTGTCTGCAACGGATTCGCTTTATTCGATAAGTTTTAGAAAGGGCAAATCATTCACATTCTAGCAACCCTCGCATCAGAAAAGAATTTTGCGTTTTTCTGGAATCCTGGCCAGGGCTCGGCACGAGGTGGCTAATTGAATATGCAAAAAGCGAATTTTCCTTGACTTTTCCGAATTTTTACGAAGTCTCCTTTGATCCTAGACCATAATCCCTAAAAAATCTCCAAAAAATGAAACGTCGACCAAGAAAAAAGTCGCCACTTTTGGCCTTTTGCCTATAAGAACGAAACCCCCTTTACTCTTTTTCCCAAAAACGATATCCAGCTTGCTTATAAGCCACCTGTGCCGAGCCCTGATCCTGGCCGATATATAAAAACACTTGAATTTTGCATTTTTCCAAAAAACTCCTCAACTATACCCTCCTTATTCGGAAATAGAACCGTAGTAGAAAGGACAACTACGGAGAAAATGATTTTTGTCATTGCGAAGCAAAAAAGAAAACAATGGGAGGTTGAAAGATGAATTTTATTGAAAGAGCCCGTAACACTTCGTGTGGACCACCCTGTAGGGTTAAGTACTAATTAACTACAAATACGAAAATAGAAACAGTACAATAGGCAAACAATTGATTAAAGCAATCACCTTTGTATTCCGTTGCATGCGTTCCATTCACATTGTCAGGTAGAATCGCTAGCCTGGCTTGTCCTACCATCAAGCAAGTTATGGAGAAAACACCTTGAAAACATGAATTTAATTTTCATAAACTAAATAAGTATTAAGTGGAAAAAACTACAACATATACATCTTTCCCCTCAATCCAGATTCAAAATCGATATATTAAGCGCAGAAGGTGACATTACGTTTGAGTTAATATTCATTGCATTTCTCTATTTCTCATCGCATTAGATTGTTAGATTACACTCATGGGTCTCAAAAAATTTTGTAGAAAAAGTTCATTTATATACAAGAAAGCATTTCAATGTAAATCACATATTTGTGGAATCAATCGACAATTCAAAAAGTAGTTTCGAAAGCTATAAGAAGCGGACCGCAAGCACCTCGCTTTGATCTTCCTACTACTTACTAAGCGACTGACTTTTCTTCTTGTAAATAACGCCCACAAAGGCCAACTTTTAAGAAGAAGAAATAGCAGTTTTACCGATTGAGATATGTCGAGATGACCCGAAGAAAAAGTATAACAAAGGAGGGAAGAATGATGCGTACAGTCCGTAAACTGGCGTAAGACTGGCTAGTACAGAATATGCCATCCCTGAAATCTCACAATCCTGAAACTCTGACCTTGACGGCTTCAAAATATCATTTTCACCAAAATTGTTGCATAAAAGTACAACTACCTTGAGGCACGTTAAAAATTCCCATTGTTAGCCCAGCAGATGTATCAGAAAAGATATATTTCCAATGATATCCTTGTATCCATTTTGTAACCGGTACTCTACGGTATAACATCGATAGCAATCCTTAAATTACATGCCTTTTAGGAGCAGGAACTGTGTTTGAAAGAAAGTATTAGTGAAAGTAAAATAAAAATAAAATAAAATAAAATAAAGCTAAAGAAATATAAAAGTAACAAGTAAAATGAGATAAAATAATTACAAAAATAAAAATAAATAAAACAAAATAACATTAATAAAACCCAACTTCGGCTGAGCAGAAACTGTGTTTTATTTTCCTTGCCGTTTTCTTCGCATAATCTTTGAAGCCAGGCGATTTTGGCATTCGAAATCCATTGATTTCATCAAATTCTTTCTGAAGGATATTACGTATATCGATTATACTCTCATGCCTGTTTGATTACAGGAAAGGAACTCTAAAAAGCGCTTTCCACGAGGTATTGTTTTAAAGGACGCAGTGAAGAAAGGCTATGACTAACATACATTTTCGAGACAACATACTGCAGTTCCAGACGATCGATTTCACTTAGGAACTTTGAGATCGAATTTAGAATAAAATCAAAAAGATAACCTGATTCATTGTTCTTAGAGTGGGTAGCGACTGTGTTCCTACGATGAGTCAGTGATGTAGCTGAAAGTAATGAAGGTAATCAGATTTGATTTCTCTCGCATTTTTCTCTAGTTTGAATTGATGCTGGGATCCCAGATTTTATTATCAGATTCTTCAAGACCATCATGCAATTCAGCAGTTGAGCAAGAAGGAATCGAGGAATGATTAGGAAAAATCAAGCGATACCATTGATCTAGACTTTCATTGGGGAACTGGAAGAACAGAGAGAGAAAATGTTGAAAGGTTAAGAGCAGGGTAGGGCGCGTCGGAAGGGGCGGAGAGGGGGGGGGGAAAGAGAGCAACCCTACAACTAGAGTAGAGGAGTATGAAAATTTCTAGAAATCAAGAAACAAGAAAAGTGTACAAAAATTTTAGGCAATGGGATTGTTAGCAAAATTGATCGATTAGTAAAATAAAAGATATATACTGCAAAGAGATTCTCAAAACTCACAAAGGAAATCGGAAAGCCGGTGAGGTAAATGAGTAACATTATCTTGAGTGAAGCGGTTATATACAACTCTAAGTTTGAACAATCTACGAAGTTCGAAAAAGCATAAATCTACAGCTTTTGCAAAAGGTTATAGATTATGAAGTGAAAAAGATGTAGATAATGCCAGAGCATTGTGCAGTTGGCACTCAGAATGACGAATTGCTTCCTCTAATTGCAAGAATATTCTAATAGAAAAACATGCCTCAACGAATTTTAATGAACATATTTCATAACAAAACTTAACACTCAAGCTGAGAACTGCTGTATTAGTTTCCTCCTTTCATATTCAATCATCAAAATTTGGAGTTAATAAAAACTAGAATAAGAACTTCCCCTCCGTATCTCACCTCCTATTTCAAAATGGTCCACAGCGTTGGGCTAGTTTTTGTCTTTGGTTTTTTGAAACAATTACGAGAAAGTAGAATAGACCAAGTTTCTTATTCTGTCACTCGTTCTGCCTCTATATTAAACTCACTACAGCATAATAAAAAATATAATAAATGAATAAAAAATATAATTCTACCTATGTCGCAATCACAAGAGTCTAGATGTTTGGCCTCCTTATGTAAACGGCTTATATTGATATATCAAGGAATTCCGACAAGCAGACGTGAATTTAAGACAAAAAACTACTTCTAAATTTGTCTCATCTTAGAATCCTTATCGGAGACAGTCGCTGAAAAACCAGAATTACCTTTTGTGGTAAAATTAACAAATTTGAAAGCGCAATGCATGAAAAATGAGTTGAATATTGTTGCTGATGCATGACAGTGGCTAAAAATATTGTTTTGACTGCTTTACTCGGAAATGAAGAATGTCTGAATGAACAAAGTATGGAATGAAAACGAAATTAAATCTAGTCATGCAGACATAGACTGCAATCGCTTTTTTTCTCGCAGACCTCTGACTTCATAACAAATGTCCATGGTACTGCTAGACGCAGAAACATTTTTCTAAGAAGAAAAACTGGTAATGCAGTAAACAAATATATTCAGGAGTTGTGTAAACTCAGCACTAATTGTTTTTCAAGAAGTGCATTGCATGGCAAGGCTGTGATATAAAGGCAGATTATAAAGGAAATGTCTGCTTGCGATAAATGGATCAATTATTTTTTCTTCTATTTTTGCAAAATAGACTGATAATAATCTGTCGTTAGCCTTTTTATATTTAACTAGGAGTTCCTGATTGATAATGAGGAAATTTCACGATATTGGAAAATTGTAAGGCAAGCAAGCAGTATTTTCTAAACTCTAGCACACCTCACAAAACATTCTCATACCGTTTTCTGACAGAACGAACTGATGCTCCCAATTAATTCTTCGCCGATAGTACGAGATTATTGCCGTTATTTGTGAATTACGCAACAATCAAAGTACGATTTTCCGTAATATCCCATCCTGCGGAGAAATTATACTGAAATCTGGCTAGGCCTGTGCCGAAAATTTCCGATTTTCTCCAAGCAGGTAATTCAATTTAAGCGGCAAAGTTGTAAAGCATGAACCTTACTTCAATAATAGTGACGGTACAAGATTTGAATTCCACTTTGCCTCAAAAGTCGGTATTTCACCGGAGTGCGCGAAATTCAGAGCGAAAAACGCACATCCCCAAATTGCTTCCCATTATAGTCAGCATGGGGGACGAGTGGCGCAGTGGTATGAGGCGCGCTTTGACCAGATGGGACCCAGGTTCGATCCCCGCCACCGAGCGAAGCAAGTCCTCTACCCTCCGGGGAAGGTAAATCGGTACCAGAGTACTCCGGGAGGATAATAGCACTAACTTCCTCGGGTAAACTGTCACACTAACGATTCACTGGTTGAATTTCCAAAGAAACCAGCAGTCACTGGTCACAACTCATCTCCCCAAATGAGCTAAAGCAAAGCATCCTCTGAAATTCGCTACAGTTTTCAAAATTCGCTGTGCATGAGATGTTGGAAGCTGATGCCAAATTTTGCATAGTGGCTTTATATCAAAGTTACCTCGAAGCTGCAGAAGCGAATAAAATTAGTCATAGTAAAACTCATTGCTGTTATATCAGATTGTAACAATTGAAGCAGGTTTTTCGCACCTCTTTTTCAATGTACTGTTTCAAAACAAAATTACATTGTCTCAAAAAACTACGCATATCATCTGAAAGCACTCTTCTTCTAGTTTTGTAAGCATACTTTCGTTTGGAGAGTAGTGGATTCATCCCGAAATTAGTGCCCTTGAATTCAAAAAGATAAACTCTATTATTTTCTTTTCAACCCTTTGCTCTAAATTTACCGCAAAAAATCGGAATCTTTCTAAAACTGGTATAATCTTTGTATGTGACCCGTGCTACAAAATGCAAATCAAAGCAGATTTTTTAAAAGTTTCCAAAATGAGAAATCTTATCTTAATCCCAAACAATCGCTGCTATCATTCTGCGGCGTATAAAAATCCTAAGTGCGAAGCAAATGCAGAGCTTTCGTCGTGAGCACAAAGAATGTTCACAGTACATTTGATGGCAGAAAAAAAAACGGAAGTTGCTATTTTCTTTGGCGGCGAGAAAATTTAAAATACATGACAAAAGGACTTTTTCGCCTTTTCAGAAATTGATAAAAATGAGTGATCACAAATTTTTTGCGATATTTTCTAGCAAAAATTTTTTCGCAAATTTCAAGCTTATCGCTGCTGCACCCAACTATTGTCTACACATTGAGTGAAATTTGTATCATTCTACTGAATTGTGCGGTAAGTTATGGCTTCTCAAACTTAAGGTTTTCCAGGAAAAACTTTGGCAATCTTTAGGCTATAAAATTTTCCTCAGTGAAATAGTGTGTACTAAATTCCCAAAGGTTTGCTGAAGTAGTCTTTATTGGAACGGATTGACTATTTCTGTGAAAAGCTATAGTAGTCCAAACTCAAAATTTGGAAAACCTGCATTAATTCTGTTACAACCTAATATTTTAGTCAAATGGCTAGTGGAGAATTTCGCAACTTTTTGTAAATACTGAATTTGCATGGTTCTTACACTTATTTCGCCGTTCCAGAGATAAGCACGTCTTTCATCTTTTGCAACATGGACCTCGAACAAAAACAAAGCACTTCGCATCTAATTTGGAAAAAAAGGTTATAGCGACCTCTTAGACGGCTTAACTCAACTAAGAACCTTGAATGTATAAGAAGATTGATAAACTTTGGTAGATGTTCGTGTCAGCAGAAAAACTTGCTCATAAAGTGTAAACAAAGCAACAGAAAATGAGCTTCCACTCTTCTTTTGAGAGGGTTGTAATGCAAATATTTTCTACCACGTTAATATATCACACAAGTCCTTCGCAGGTGTGAATAATCTCCATATTGCGTAACGTAATCTGCTGTGAGTGGCTGATTAGATCGAAAGTAATCCTCATCGCCCTAGCCAAGTAGTCTATTACTATGGGTTCAGGTGTATTAGTATAAGTGTAGAAAAAATAAGAGCATAAGTGAGAAATGAAATAAAAATCTAAGAGACCTTCTATGCTGACGTCATATGTTGTCCCGAATGTTCGCTCAAAAAAAAATGTCTAGGAATTTTGTTTATCTCGGCGGAATACTGTTCGAGGATTTAGCTGAGTCACTGCACAGTCGCCGATCTAAATGATTTATTGGTCACCAATGTCTAACAATAAGAGTGTTCAATATCGTACAAGGAATGACCAGCTTGGAAGAGTACGGTACTGGGCGAAATTCAGCCACGAATTAGACACCGAATCTATCGAAAATGTGTATTTATGTCTGAATAAGTGCATGTAGTGCATGTCTGCATCATGGTTGATTTGTACTCCAATATGTGCAATGCACACAATACGCACATTATGCGTTTTGGCCATTTGTGCTATTCGTAGTTACCGCTACTTGATTCATCGAACATGTCCTTAAGAACACATCCCAGAACCAAGATTAGTTACCAAAGTTCAAGGCTTCTTCCTTTACGGTTGGAAAATTATATCTGACCAGTTTGACATCACCAAGCTAACAAAGCTATAACCTGAGGTTTATTCAACGCATCGGGATACGACACCACTCGTTAAGACACCTCTTATGCACTTCCTTGACGCGAATACATTTCACATTTAGTGAGTAAATAAATCCTGACGCCAAAACGAGCACTTCCGTTCCTTGAAAGAAAGTCTTTGTAAATTTGCAACTTTTTCACTGACAGCCTATACTCATTTATTAACACCATTCTTTTACCTGTGAAATGCGCAAGTTATTTTCGGAAAAGGGCATAGCCCAATTTCTGATTTGTGTTTGCAAATGCAAACTTTCAAGCCTGGTCAAAAAATGCATAGTAGGTTTTACCTTTCGACCAACAGAAACTGAGTTTATAATGGTAAGTTTGGGGGGCACGCGGAAGGCGACAATCGGCGAAAAATGGAGGCTGTTATCATAAGTCTCAATGACTTTCACGGATTTCTACTTGTGGCATTGAGTAATGTATCTGCCCCCACCCCCCACTCCCGTAGTCCCCCGGGGTGTCACTTTGACACGGGAGAGTTTTTGATAGGCACAAAATTCGGAATTGTCGCCTTCCGCACCACACCCTGATAAGTTTTGCTATTATACATATATTTTGCTTGCTTTTGCTTCAAAGATAAATCACTCCGGCCCAAGTATAACCACTTTGCAAAATCAAGGTGTGCTATCGCTTGTTTGATTGAATCACGAAGTTCTCTTTATTTCTCAAAATGAGAGATATTTAAGTTTTTCCTGGATGTGGCTTGTCTGCATCGAAATTCACATAAGTTAATACCAGACTATGGCCCTCCCAATCTTATTCTTTGTTTCCTCTCGGGACTTCTAGTTCTGGCTTGATTTTCGTCCATCCAAATATAAAACTCGATAAAAGGAACAGGGAAAATACGGCTGCAAAGTTATTTTTGGGCCTCGACCCGTGCGTAAAGAAAGGTTACCCTGTTGCTATGGAAGTTAGAATTCGAAATTAACCTGGCACTTGCGAATGTCGATTCGATGCCACGTACACACCAAGGTAAATCGTTGCTTTATTGGGATCTTTTTCCCCCTTTGAAAAAAAATTTCAAAGAACTGAACTTTTAGATCTTCGTCGTCGCTACTTTCATCGAATTCAAATAAAAGGAGACTGCGAAAAGAGGGAGGAACCACAGCCGGTTAATAAACCACTTGCTCCACAGGAATACGGTCATGATATAATACGTAAGAACAGCAGAGAATTGAATGGCTTCAATCACATTTATCCATTTTAAGCAATCGCTCCATATTTTCCAAGACGGAGGCTGTCGTTATCTTCGACTGCAAGTAAGACTAGGAAGAAAATATGGTGAGAAATGGTGTATAAATAGTCTCTCCACTTTTACTCCAATCACAAAATTTTCTTTTCTTGTTTTCTGTGAAAAGAGGTGAAGAATGGGTGTACTGGAAGTATTTCGTGGAATAATCATAACGCTATGCTGAAAAATTTCTATATCAAATATTTTGTAAGATACACACACGTCAGCATTTCCTGGCTTCCTTCCTCACCTCTAAAATTCTGCCTACCAAAAAATAAAGAAAGTTTAAACAACAGTTTTAAAAGAAATTATACTTTGGGTCTACAAGTTGTGTTTCATATTCAACTTCTGACATCACCGATATACATATCTTATTTCGAAAACAAGAACTATTGCAGAAATTTTTGATTGTCATTTCAGAGTTTTTTGTTGTCGTTGCTAAGCTGCCGATTCACTCAGTTCATTAAATTGTGACGAGAATGAAGAAACTGTGCGGATTTCCACGTTCTGTACGATATAGCAGAATGATTAGCTGAAGACTAGACCTCACAAACCAATTAAAAGCAAATTATTCTAAATCCTTGACTTTTTCTCCAAGTTGTTCTGTGGTGCATAAGAATTCTTTTTAGGTGGAGTGACAATGACAGCGTTCACAGAACGATTTCACCTGTCACTGTGGAAAGGATTAGCTTGTCACCGTGTGGGTTTTTTTTCATGAGATAAGCTTTTAGACTTACTCCTATCAAGGCTAGAAATTTTTGAAATTTTCCGTGGACTAATCACATAATTTGAAGCGACTTTCGGTGAATCTTTGTCAAAGAAGCTCTTTGAAAAGCTTACAAAACAACTTTTACGAAGCAATGTAAACTGCTAAAACAATTCGATAACGCTCAGTTTTTCCACATTTATGAGCCACAAATTACAATTATGTAACTTTGCTACCATCAAACTTTCTCGAAAGCCCGTATCCTTTCTTGTATGTAATCAGCTTGAAAATTGCTCGAAAAAACTTCCACCTACAAATGGGTTCAAGTTATTCCTGCTTACAACTAGCAAGACGCTCCAGCAAAACTGTTTATGTCCGAATAAGTCATTGTAAAGTCTCCAATAAGCTCAAAGAATATGGATATATCCAGGGCTCGGCACGAGGTGGCTAGTTGAAAATGCAAAAAACGAAGTCCCTCTTGACTTTTGCGAATTTTTACGAAGTTCCCTTTGACCCTAGACCAGGGCTCGCACGAGGTGGCGTCCCGAAATTGCAAAAAAATGAAGTCCCTTTTGACTTTAATGAAATTACGACATCCGCCACGAGATATTCGAACAGAAATTACATGAAAAGGAACGGAACAAAGCAACAGCAGAAAAAAAGGAAAAAGAATTATCGAACACGCACGATTATATTCATATTCTCCAAAATGGTGGCATAATGTGTCCATCGTGCAGCAATACGCGCCTAGAGCAGCCTTTCCGCGGCCATTCAAATTTTCAAGGGGCTATAACTAAGCGGCGAGAAGGGGGTTTGAGGCGGTTTAGGAACCAGTTTGTAGGGTTTGGGATGTAGATGGAAAGTATGTAAAGAAAGTAGAAAAATTATGCGAGGGAGGAAAAATTTATGACTTTTTCTTTCCTAAGCCACCTCAGGTGGCTATCCAGGTGGCTTGAAAGCCACCTAACTCCGAAAAAAGTTGAGCACGCCTTTAGTTCACATAATTTTTTCATAATTTTTCATACCTAGTCCTAACTCCCCATTGCCTATCTACACACCTATTTTGGTGTCATTTCATCTTCACTTCGCTGTAAACAAACCTTTTGTTTATTTGCTAGCGGCATGCCGGCAGCGTGCCGGCCGCAGATCGAAAGACAACGTTATGCTTTTCCGCAGAACGATATCCCCCTTGCTTTTTCCCCGAAAACGATATCCAGCTTGCTTGCTAAGCCACCTGTGCCGTGCCCTGGATATATCTCAGCAAATTGCAATGGCAGCACAGCAAGTAATAAACAAACGAATAACCAGGTATCATTGCACGTAATACTTTCTAAAAAAATTAATCGTTTTGTTCACCTTGGTTTTGTTCATCTCTCAACCGGTCTTGTCTTCTTGTAAAAGCGAGAAGCATGGCGGCAAGCGAGCCAACAGCTGCGCAGAGTAAGATGAACGGTTCATCCTGGATCTCAACTAACCTTCGATACATAAAGCCATACACTCTGACAAACTTCACTTTGTCCGTCATGGTAGAACACAACCTTCACCTGGAGAAAAGAACAAAAGTCAACAGGGGCGAAGCTTCGGATATTTTGATAAAACTTCATAGGAGTCAATGAGGCAAGTGTAGTGAGTGATATTTGGAAAAGAAACTCAGAAAACAGAAAACAGAAAGATTGTGTTTTTGTAGCCTTTTCTGCTGAAAAGAAGGTTTTCATTCAAGACTTCCCCAGAATTTAGAACGACAAATCTCAACTAACCTTTTTATAGACTACAACTGAGTGTTAGAAGTCTATGAAAGCTGCTGGAGTTCAATAAAAACGAGAAACCGCGCTTAAATTTTGCGCGGAAGTAGCCACATAAATGCTGGTTTATCTCGTTATGGAGTAATTTTCATCGACGTTGTCAGTGCCCCTTGTCGTGTCATGAGGATCACAATAATAACTCTCTTGCTTTCATGTCTTTTGCCGAGCTTGAGGTACCATTCTGTAGAGCGATGTTCAGCATAGATTAATAGTATGGAGCGAATCACCAATCACTCTTCATTACTGTATGACTACGGTATAAACTTTCAACATAGATCGTCACTGTGGAATTGGCCTTTTTGATGAAAGAATTTCAAAAAAAATCTGAAAATTAGTGTAACAAGGTTTTCAGGCGTGCTGATTTCACTACATAACTTTCCACCACTTTTTCATGCTTTCTTGATAGCGTATTCACATTTCTGAAGAACACTGGAAGGCAGTTGTTATCCTAAATCTGAAATAACTTATGAAGAAGCACTATACTGAAATGCTTTATATTTAGAATCAGCGACTTTAGCTAGGCCAGTACAAGAGTTTCTGGCTAGTTTGGTTTTTGTTTCAAGGCAAAAATCAATTTTGAGACTTGAAAATCCTCATCGAAATTTCTACCGTAATCCTACAGTAATGAAAAGCGAATGATAATTCTCTCCATACTGCACATCTAAATTGAACCTCGCTCTAAAAAATGATACCTCAAGCTCAGCAAAACACAAGAAAGCAAGAGAGTTAACGATCAAACAGTGTGCACATCTTTTTGGGACGGACACCCTGAATAAAGTTGCAAGGTTTCGTTAACACCCCGCCGAGATCTACGATCAGAGCTAAATGCCCCGTCAGCTCTAGTCTGTCTCCTCTGCTCGTCTACGTCTCCGCATGTTGGGTGTTATCTCGCTACCTCAAACGAGGGGCGCGTTGCATTTGGCTCTGGTACTCTTTCTCTCGTTGTTCTCAGTTCAATCATAGCAAGCTGAATATCTTGTTGCTTTTGATCACTTTCATGCTGACAACGTCACAGAACTCCATCATCTGATATGAAAGAGAAATCTGGCAAAAACCGTATTTTCAAAAATCTCTTGTTTTTTCTTCAATTTAGCTCTTTTCAAGCGGGTTTTTTGTGCATTCCATAGATTTTGCTTCCGTTCATAATGCAGACAACGTCGCGGGGCTAATTTTCTATTGTGGTGAAATATCTAGCACGCTGCAAAAAAATGCGTTCTTGTTCATAGGCCTTTATCACATTCACGACAATACGACCCACCGGTGGGTCGTATGCTTTCTGAAGTTTTTGATTTTGCTAGTTCACGATGAAACTTTCTAGACAAACCGAGTAAACCTCTGCATACATCTCTTGGATTACTTCTCAAAAGATTAACACTTCAGGCCACAGGGCCCATCAGTGACCTGAAAATATTCCGCAAACTCAATCTTGCGAAATATGTTCTGGTCCGAAATGGCAGTCACAGAAAAATCGGCCCTGTCGTGAATGTGTTATTGGAGATAGTAAGCAACCATTTCTTACGTGCTTGAGGCATACTGCTCAGGATTATGAGCACAACAAAGCTAACAACGTCACCAGAAAAAGAAACTAAGATAAGGGGATAAAAATTTAAAGGACGCATCAAAAATTAGGCTGTCTTCGACGTGCATTTCGACTTGGGAAAAAAACTTTGCGTTGTCATAACTAAATGTTTTTCGTTTGATTTCTTCTTGATAATCACCACCTCCAAAGTATGTTTGTTTTCAAAACAATCACGAAGCGTAAATTAGCTTTCTCTCGTTTTTCCCCGTGCGTGGATTGCCTGGTCCTGTAGCGAAAACCTGCAGTTTGAAACGCCCCGAAACGAAGGATTACAAACTGATTGCGGCGTTTTATGGTTTTCAAGAGATTCCTCTGCTTTCGCTAATTGTTTTGCATCTTTTTTCTCTTTTTTGACTTCCTGTAAGCAACTTTTAATTTTTATGGGTGGGGGGGGGGGAGGGGGCAGATATTCAAACAACCTTCACTTTTGACGCCCTATCGCTTGTCATTGGCTGCCGCGCTCTACTCTTTATCTTACAGAGCTGCTATTGGCTGACGCATGTCATGGTGCGCTCAACAAATTTCTTATTGGGCTTACGTGCATTGAGAATAATATGTGCATTAACATGTAAATACAGGGTATCCCAAAAAAGTACACACCTTTTGATAGCTTATAACTCTCTTCCCACTAAGTCTTCCTTAGTTTCTGTACCATTCAGTAGAGGAGGCTTCAACTTAGACTTGCAATCTCGAGCGAATCACCCATCGCCCTTCGTTACTGTAGGATTACGGTAGAAACTTATAGCATACAGCACCATTGTAAAATAGGCTGTTTGAACAAAAAGTTCCAAAAAAGTCTGTTGTGAAGCAGTGTTATCAGACATGCTCACTTCATCAGACAACTATTTTTTTAAGAAATTTGAAGGGTCCAATCAACATTTTTGAACTACACTAAAAAAAAACGTCGTGGCGCTTTACTTGGAATGACTCACGGAAAAAGCCTTACGGTAAGGTGCAAATTTTTATGTTGACAATCAGCGACTCATTTAGTCCAATGATAGAGTTTTGGCCTTTCGAGTATCTATTTTGGGGCAAGGGGCAATATGTAGCCATTAATGGCTCAAAACTCTCTTCAAAGTTTCTATCGTAATCCTACAGTAATGAAGGGCGATGGGCGATTCGCTCGATGCTTTTAGCTGAATTCTCCTCTATTAAAGAGCACTTGAAGCTAAGGAAACACATTGGGAAGAAAGTTATTGACGATTAAAAGTGTGTAGTTACATATAGGACACCCTCTAAATTCTACGAGATCTCGAATTTCTACTTCGCCCGTTTTATATGTACCTTTGAATTGCGAAGCTAATTCATGGAGCATGATTTGTATCAACTGTATTGCTTAAAGTCGTTGGTCGCTCTCACAAATTATCTACTTTTAGCCTCAGACTCACCTAATTCGATAGAGAAGCCAGTATCAAAACGTCGAGTGGCAAAAATCAAGAAAACGGCAGTAAAGTGAGTATCTCTTTCATCTGCGATAACTTTCGGACAAGGACAAAGTCTGCAAACTTTTTTCACTGGACGGTGTGAATAACCTGTCATTATAGGCCGGCAGATGATTTTGACCACGAGAGATGGTTAGAGGTATGTTACTTTCTTTGCAATTCGTCGAACATGCCTGAGGGTTAACTAGTTTTGGACAACTTTTATCGCCTTATCTATTAGCCATTCTGTTCGGAAGTGTTTCAATAGAGAACTGGATCAGCAAAAGCTAAGTACGGGAGAAAATCATAAAATTGAAAAGATAAGGATTTTATCGCGGCACTACAACAGTAAGAAAATTCAGCGAAATTTTTTAGTAACTGGTAGATTAGGAGTTGGGAGTTATATATCCTCACCGTTGTAGATGCTGCTCCTTATGCGCTCTGCAGTTAACAAAGCCGCTTTCGCGCCCAAAGACATCCCGCCTTCGTCATGCAGCAGCCTATAGATACAAAGGTTAACGTACTCCGTTTATTGATAACCGCTCCGCTACTGGTCAGTTCACTGAATTGACCAATGACGAAGGGATCAAGAGGATCAAATGTGGCGCGTGCCTATGCCTTTTCCCGCTACAGCCTACAGAGTTGAGTGATCAGCAAAGACTACCTAAAGGGGAAAGATACTCGGTCACCGCGGCCTCATAGAATGGAACGCATACCATCAAATGTATCTTGAAGCGCTGATTTCAAGTCTGCTTTCGGTATCTGCTGTACTATCTGCTCTTCCGAAAAAATTTATGAGCGTTTCTTGCCACCAAAGTTCGCACTGTTTTATTGATAAGACTGATCAATATAGTTAGAATGTTCACTTACGCATAACAAAAGAGCGTCTAAATAAAACAGTTTTACATTAAGCTCAGGAAAACTGTCTCCGATATGTCAGAGTTTGAAAAGCCGGTATACTGACAATTCTGCTTCGATCTCATGGATTTGGTACGGAAAAAGGGTCCATAACTCTTGTCGATCCAGAAAATCCAGAGTAAATGTATAAACTACTGCTGTTTCGTGTGGATATCCTGAATCTACTCGAAACAGCAGTAGTTTATATATTGACCGATTGTGTATTGTACTACTGATAAATAGCGTTTAGTAAGCAGGATTGGCGGCAGATAGCAGTCTTTTGTCGATGACGGATTGTATAATAATGCAGTTCAGTAATTTGGAGGCCCCTTATCTTATATATAAAGCTGAATGTCTGTATGTATGTGTGTATGTCTGTATGTCTGTATGTACGTATGTTCCGAATAGAAAATTCCATTTCTGAACCGATCGGGACCAAACTTGGCACACATACACTTCGGGCCCCGGCGGGTGTCACAGGCTACTTTTCGTCATCGATCGATATCGATTTTATCGATTTCTATCGATTTTTTTGCTGAGTTCACCTACGGGGCTGGGAGTTGGCACAGGGGAGTAATCGAGCATGGGGATTCCGAATACAATATTGGTTTTCAGGATTATCGATTACTTTTATCGATTTTATCGATTTTTTTTGCAAAGTTTGAGCTAGGGGGCTGGGAGTTGGCACAGGGGGGTAATCGAGCATGCTGATCATCCCCAAGGGGGGTGATCAGCATGCTCGATTACACCAAGATGCCAAATTCCAGCCCCCTAGCTCAAATTTTCAAAAAATCGATAAAATTGATAAAAGTAATGGACGATCCTGAAAACTAATACTGTGTTCGTAATCAGCATGCTCGATTACCCCCCTGTGCAAAATCCCAGCCTCGCATGTCAGAATTTACAAAAAATCGATAAAATCAATAAAAGTAATCGATAATTCTGAAAACTAATATTGTATTCGGAATCCCCATGCTCACTTCCCCCCCTGTGCCAACTCCTAGCCCTGTAGGTGAACTCTGCAAAAAAATCGATAAAAATCGGTAAAATCGACATCGATCGATAACGAAAAGTGGACTGTGACACCCGCCGGGGCCCGAAGTGTATGTGTGCCAAGTTTGGTCCGGATACGGCGGAGCCGGGTAAGCCAGCTAGTTTACATCTAAGGAGCTAGGCACCGAAAATACTGGAACAATCTCGCGAGGTCGAGGCAGGCGGAGAGGGTGCGACAGATTTTTGAAATGTTTGAGGCAACGAACAGAAGGGGGTAATTAATAACGGTGGAACTTTCAAAAGCGAGAGATATACAGTTAGTAACAATTGATATACTTCGTTCCGAGAGTAACACAGCAGATAACGAACATAGATTTGGGATCAGCGTTTCAAGGCGCATCTACTAGTATACATCTCACTGCAAAAGGCCACGGTGACCAAGTATCCTCCCCTTGTTAGTACGTGCTACTGTACAGGGTGTCCCAAAAAAATGTATCCACTGTTTGATTGTTAATAACTCTCTTATTATGAGGTCTTTCGAGAAGCGGTAAGCGCCATTTTGTAGAGATGGCTTCAACTTAGATTTACAGTATAGAGCGAATCACCGACCGCTCTTCACTACTGTAGGATTACGGTAGAAACTTGGAACATATGGTGTCACTGTGGAAAAAGCTGCCGTTTCAAAAATTTTCAAAAAGATTTGAGAACTTGTGTAATAAAGTTTTTATGGACGCTGAGTTCAATACCCAACTATTCACAAGATTGCGAAGCTTTCTAAACGATGTAACCGCACTTTTTAGGAACATTAAAAAAGTGGCCGCTACCTCTTACCCGGCATAACTCTTCAATGAAGCACCATAATAAGTTGGGAACTTTACAGTTAAAATCAACAACCCTAATTAGCCTATTGTAAAAGTTTCCAGGCTGTTTTGTTTCCTTTCTTAGGCAAAATATGGCCTTTCATGGCTCAAAACCCTTTTTGAAGTTCCTACCGTAATCCTACAGTAATGAAGAGAGATGAGTGATTCGTTCTATACTGCAAATCTAAGTTGAAGCCAGCTCTACAAAACGGTTCCTGAAGCATTGCAAAGGACTTCTTTAGAAGGGAGATACTAACGATCAAACGTTCGATACATTTTTTTGGGACCCTGTAGAATTTTATTTTCTCAGCTTCTAGCCATAGAAAAAATAACAAGCAAACATATGCATAGCTGATGCGACAAGTTATTTTTGTAAGTATTTGAATATAAGTATTTGAACGCTTTATTATATTTATTTAGTATTTGAACGCTCATAATTCCATCCAGATAGTCGTTCGGCAGATAATATACATATATTTGAAATCAGATTTGCAATGCGATGCAGACGACTTACAGCTTGTTTGGAATGGTTGGGTTAAGCTTTGACCATTTCCTCGTTAGCTCAAAGCCTCTGTTTGTAGCTTTCGACTTTGCACATGCTAACAAGCGCCTATAAAATTGCTTCTATCAAGATGGAAAAAGACATGCACATGTTCTAATTTCTCTCACAACATGTTGAGCGCAATAGTTATGTTGCACGCATATTTGGAATCGCTTAGAAAACGAATCTGTTCCCATCTTTCCAGCTTCTTATTTTCTCAAATGCTGAAATCTACAACAAAGCAGCATTCAGTCCCAAGCTGACTGCTCAACTCAAAATCACTAAGTGGCAGAATGTTATCTATTAGAGTCGCATTTCAACAGCAAGAAAGTGTCGGCCTTAATGGTAGTGTCCCGGCAGATTCGCGCCTTGAAAGATATTGCTATGATGGGGTTTCTGGCCATTCTACTGACCGTCAGGCGCAGTCCGACTGGTTGATGTTCCCCCTGGCCAAGAAAATAGCCCTTGAACCGGCGTGCGCAACCCCAATCGGAGCGCGCTTGGACGACTTCGCTTACCGTTCGGCGCGGGACCTCACGGCCGATCTCCCGCATTGTGCATGGTATCCAAAGCAAAAATTACAGGCAGCAGGGTCATCGTGCCAGGGCCTCCCACCTTTATGTTGAAATTCTCACACGGCCTTTTGGAAACCGGGTAAACGCTCCGAAAAAGGTTTTTTCACCCGTCTCCAAGCCCAAATTCGGGGTCCACGGGTCGAAAAGGCCCAAAACTTGCAAAAAGATAGAAATGCGGAATCTGTGGGACGCTGCCTTTGATACAAAAAATATGTGGAAAGTTTAGCTGACATATCATGCTCCTGATATACGTCAGTTCTCATCATCTTACATGGTCTAAACGAGCTTAAACCCTTTCTCTCTCTTCTTATCTAGGAGCTGGACTTGAGCTGGTAATGGATGTTTTATTGTTTTTTGCTACTGTTCATGTTTCAAATGTTTTCGTTGTATGTTCTAGATACACTGTTTGATCGTTAATATCTCTTTTCCCAAGAAGTCTTCTGCCTTGCTTCAGGTACCGTTTTGTAGAGCTGGCTTCAACTTAGATTTGCATTATGGGACGAATTACCCATCTCTCTTCATTACTGTAGGATAACGGTAGAAACTTGAAACATATGGTGTCAATGTGGAAAAAGCTGCCGTTTCAAAATTTTCCAAAAAATTGTGAAAACTTGTGTAATAGACTTTTTAGGGACGCTGAGTTCAATATTCAACTATTCTCAAGGTTGCGAAGCTTTCTAGAAGGTATAACCGCGTTTTTTCGGAACATTGAGAAAATTGCCGCTACTGCTTACCTCGCATAACTCTTCAATGAAACACCATAATAAGTTGGGAACTTTATGATCAGAATCAGCAACTCTAATTGGCCTAGTGTAAAAGTTTTCAGGATGTTTTGATTCCTTTCTGAGGCAAAATATGGCCTTTCATGGCCCAAAACCCTCTTTGAAGTTTCTACCGTAATCCTACAGTAACGGAGAAAGATGGACGACTACTTCTATACCGTAAATCTAAGATGAAGCCAGCTCTACAAAATGGCGCTTACCGCTTTTCGAAATATCTCATAATAAGAGAGTTATTAACAATCAAACAGTGGATACATTTTTTGGGACACCCTGCATGATGAAGGCGCAGTACAGTAAGTTTCGGCCCGCTTTGGGCGGAAATTGGACTGGCGGGCGTCCGCCTCGCAACGCTCGCGCCGTTTCGCAGCTACAGTATATCATATCGTGCTGAGAACCGCGGTCTGCGTCCCTTCATTCTCCTCAGCCTCTGCTCGGCAAAATGCCAGCGCTATGCGCTCATGCCTCCAGCGGTGCGCACACGCCCAATCCGGGGAAACCGAATGGGCGTGGACGCGGCTTTATTGGCTACAGAGCGCATGAAGCGCAGGATTGACAACGATGTAGATACAGTTGACTGCACAAAATCGACCAGGCTGAAGGCCCGCGAGCGTGCCTCCTGCGGGCTAACATTGGCATTCGCGCGCGTGAGTCATCATAGTGCCCATACAGTCTGCTCCAATTGGGATCAGGCCGAACCGTCGGCGTAGATTTGCGCTGCACATGCGCGCTGTCGGAGAGAGCAAAAGGATTGGAGAGAGAGTAGAGAAGCAGGCCGTGGGCGTGACCGCAAACCCCTAGCAACGCGGACTCCCGCCATGCCAATTTTAGCCTGATTGGGTTTGGAGCAGACTGTACCTGGCACAGCCGCGTTGCAGGCACGCTCGCGTGCGTTCAGCCTACAGCGATATGGGCGATTTCGTGAAGTCGACTTTACATATGCGCGCGCCGAACTTCTGTCGACGACTGATTGTATGCTAATGACAATAAACTACTTTGGAGGGGGGGGGGTTATATACATCTAACAAGGAGCCAGGTAAGGAGCCGGGCACAGAAGAAGTGGAACAGCCTCGTGAGGGCTAGGCAGACGGAGAGGGTGTGAAAATTTTTTGAAATGTTTGAGGCAACGGACAAAAGGGGATGGTTGATAATGGTGGAACTTTCCAGGACGAGAGATATACAGTTAGTAACAACTGATATGGGGTTACATACCTATAGGAAGACTTCTTGTCGGTTGAATCCAAACGAAACAGCAGCAGTATATATATTGACCGATTGTGTATTGTAGTACGTAGCGGTTGGTAGGAGGATTGGCGGCAGATAGCAGTACTTCTGTCGATGACTGATTGTATGGTAATGACAGTACAGTAATTTGGGGGGCCCTTAAATACATCTAAGGAGCCAGGAACAGAAGATACTAGAACAACCTCGTGAGGGCGAGGCAGACGGAGAGGGTGGCATAGATTTTTGAAATGTTTGAGGCAACAGACGAAAGGGGGCTGGTTAGTAACAGTGGAACTTTCCAGAACGAGAGATTATACAGTTAGTAACAAGTGATATGGGTAGCAATTATGTGTCAGCAGAGATTTGTCGCTCCAAAATGCTGATAATATCACGATTTCGCAACTGGTTTGATGAAATTCGTTATCTGCACCTTATCCGTGCATGTTTTTCGTTTTCGTGATGGAATCGTCATTGACTCCTAACCTTCTTAAACGATGCAGAATGTTTCGCTTCCGCTTTTACTCGCTTCCACTCGTTGAGTTCAGCATAGCCGTAAGGCTTAGAGTCTCGTCAGCCTTCGCTAGAAAATCGCCCAAAGATGCCATAAAGCACCAAGCATCGGATAAAACACTAGAAAACTCCCTCGGCGTACTTTTAGCTGAGCCTCAGAGTTAAGAAGTGGCGTTTAGCACCTTCGGCAGCTTTGACGGGATGAATTCCGAAATTCCGAAAGTTCTGACTCGGTCACCTGAAACACTGAACGCTTCTTGTGAAGCAAATTTTGGCAGTGCTGAATCAGGGAATGTCTAAGCATCGTGAAGTTTTTTGCTTTTGCTCTTGAACAATTTTTTGCTCTCCTTTACCATCCCGCTTGTCAGCAGTAGATATCTGAAGTGCATCAAAGACTTTGCAAGTATAATGAGCACTTCTGCATTGATTTCGTAGTGTGAATGAGTCACTGCTATTTTTTATACTAGCGAGACAAGAAGGACGCTGAACGTGACTGTAGATAACTTCGAGCTTACCATCATCTTGCCAGGCACGTGTGTTCTTATGTTCATCTTCTTAACTTTCTGTATACTCAACGTGATCATCTCATCTCTTCATCGGCAGAACCTACTCTTTGCGACTTTTCATTAATACTTTATCAGGGAATTTATGGCTTGGTAATGCTACACTTGGCTCGCTTATCTTTGCACTAGTTTCTCAAAATTGGCTAAGGAAGCTGAGCTGTCATCTTGTGATAACAGAAGGCTTGCATCGCCTAGTATCATCTGGTCAAAAAATGTTATGATTTCAGCATTCAAACAAGCAAAAAATGGAAAAACGGAGGAAAGAGGAAAAACGAAGGCGTCTTGAATTTGAGAGGAAACAAATCGAAGAAGAAAATCGAAGACTAATCGAGGAGCGCAAGCGCTATGAAGAACAATGGCGAACCATTCAGGAAAGGCAGAGACGACCTAAGAAAAAGACCAGTGTGAAAGTGGTCAGAAACAGTCCATATCGCAAGAAACAGGCATGAAAAATTTCAAAATTTCTATTCACATAGCTAGTTTCGTATGCTTCAGGTCAAGAAGAACAAAACTCTGCCACCTCGTCCTAAGGCTAGAAGTAGAACACCGACAAAGAAGCGGATAGCACCAGCGCAAAAAGTTCGAAGGCCCAAGAAAAAATCTAAAGTATGTTCTATTTGAAAATTTGTATTTTCACGAGCTCTGTGATATTTTTATTTAGGTAATTGTCAAACGTCCTTGGGCTTACGTTGGCGACCCAACCTTACGTGCCTACAGGACACGGGAACAGTCATATTTGAGTGATTTCCACTTTTAATGGGAACATTTTATATTATAAATATTAGTCCATGAATGAATTGTTCTACACGAATGGAAACTGCTTGACATACATAAGACATGAGTAAATTACGAAAACTTTTCTGGAATAAAAAATGCTACTATAAGTATACAAATTGGTGGAATTTACGATTTCTAATGACAACAATCAAATTTCTAAATTTTACTATATTGGCAGATCTCGAAATCATCATACGTAAAATGTGCATTTGCATTTAATCATTTTTTTTAGTTTTTTCACGACAACATTGACTTAATTTGAGATGAAGTGTATACGCTTTTGAAAGCTCCAAGTCTGCAGGCTCATATGCATCATTCCCGAACATATCAAGAACTCTAAAAAGATTTTTATCATTGAAACAAAAAATCCAAAGAGCCGAATTTCCTCAAAATTTTTCTCGCTTTTCGTTGGTAAAACTTATTAAACAAGCTTGACAACAAGCAAAACAATCTATTAGACTCTTACGCTTCATTCTATCACTGTTTGCGCTTGTTCCCTTCCCTCCACCGTGTATTTAATGACATTTTTTCAAAAGTCGGCAAAGCAAGACTTTGTTCACGCCGATGTTCGCCAGATCGCGTGCCCAAGCTGTGTGGCTCCCAAGATTCGAATTTTGAATTTAGCCTATGAATTCGTTAATTTTAGAGCCATAAACCATCCCTTCTGTCTTCTCTAAACGATTCGCCTACCGTCCTCCCTCAGGATGCCTTCAGATGATGCCGGACATCAACGTTGAAAAGACGTTAAAAAGAAGACTTTTCTAAAGTTTACAGAAATGATTTTTGAAAAGTTTTGGCAGTCCTGAAGCGCAGTAGAAGCTGTAGCATTCTTTGCTTACGTGTAGCAAATTTTTCGAGCTCATTTGTAGGCATTCTGATTAATTGGAGGGCGACGTTGTAGTTGTAGTTTAACGTAGTTGTCGAAAATGGATTTTTCCCCTGTTTGATTTTCCAAATTTGACGCTGTAAAACTCTTTCAAATCTTCTGATGTAAAAAACCGAAATAGAAGTTTTAGTAGAGAAGGCTTAGAGCTTTCAAATGCATATAAACAATTTGCAGAACATCGCGCAAAGTATCAAGAAAAATCGAAGGAAGAAATGGAACAGAACTTATAACACAACCTATTAGATAAAAGGGAACGAAGCAAATTATTCTAAGCGAATGTGTCTAAAGTGATGCTGTTATAGATATTCAAAACTTCACACCCTACCCCAAAAAAATTATATTTTTCTATTGGTTCACCCCCGATGTTGCTGATATTATGTGTAACAAATAAATTAGTTGACCCGCAAAATTAATTTTCCTCTTCAGAAAACTTAATTACACAAAGTAATGATGTATCAAAATGATAATTTTTTGCCTTCTGCAAAATTGATTTTTTCTGATTTGGATCAATGTCGCTGGGTAAATCCGAACGTAGGATTAGTTCGGCTAGCCATGAGGACAGTAATAAATCACACCACGCTTGATTTTGGTACAACGTGGTGAGGTAACTCTTCTTTATGCAATTAGTTTATCGATTTTTTTCGAATTTTCCATCTCCTAAATAAGAAAGTATCCTTTCTACTCACTTTACATTGACATTTTACATGCTTTTTGAGTGCAAAAAGTATGAAGCAGCTGCGCTTTCACAATTCCAAAATTATGTTCTATAAAGTTTGTTCAGATCTCTAAACACTATTTATAATCTAATTATATGAAATCAGATTATTCATTTTCTAATTTATGTAGCACTTTCAAAGAATCATTCCATCTACAAAGCGGTTCATGAGAAAACGATTGCACAGCAGCGAAGCTAACTCTTCGTCCACTTTTCGGAAACACTTTTTCTGTTTTGAGGAGGACAGTAAGGATCTTCTCAATTATGAAAACCATGTCATAATGTCCACATTTCTTACTGAATATCTTTTTTGTTGGCTGACTTTTCATTAATTTACCTGAACATTATTCTTTGTTTTTTTTGGAAATGTCAGCTTCTGAATTTTGTTTTTTTAAACTTTTTCTCAAATATGTCACGTTGGTCGATAAGTCTTGCACCAAAAGAGGCGTTGTTTGCTCTAAAAAATAACTCAAACAAGGTTTTAAATCATATTCTATATTTTTGTTACTTACAGCAGGTGCTCCGTTTTACTTTGCTAAAACACTCGAAAAAAAATCGAAATGTCAAACTTGAAATAAATTGAATCTTTGACTAATACAAACACCTAGTCTTTAAATTTTCTGATATTTAAAAGAGTAAGTTTCAAAATCACAAGCAAAAGTAAAATTAAATTCTCTTGAACCTTTTAATTGCGAGGACCAAAAGTAGAAAATTACAACTTGATTTATTTTTGACAGCTTGTATCACTATGATTTGTCAACGTCAATTTTGGCTCAGGCGCTGTTAGGAAGCGCATGATTTTCTCTTGCTAAGCAACATTGAATTAGCAAATTCGTTTTGAAGAAAACTTACGGTTCCTGAAATTTTGGTGCAAGGCTTATGTGCCAACATAATAAGCACTATTCCATAGCACATATCAGAGGGTTTGTGAAAATTGTTAATTATAAAAACTCGATTATGATTATTTGTAAATACTCTACTGAAAAGATAAGCCGCGGACCGTAATCGAATATAAAGATTATCTTTTATTTAAAATTTGCAATTGGAATTAGAATTACGAATTTAAAATTATTAATTTGTTGAAAGTAGGAAAAATTTTGATATTAGATATGACTTACGTATCGATCTAATAGTAATTCTCCAACTGTTCATATTCTATATATTTATCCAATGTGATTCTGGAAAGAATTTTGAGCGAATTGAATCTTTTTTCTTTCTTTTTAAGGACTATGGAAAGCAATGATTTTTTATTGAAATGGATTGAGTTGTACCAATTTGTTGAGATTAAAAAGATTTTTCCAAAGTTCGATAGGACATACGAATCAACCTAGAAGCTAATGGAAAGGGCTCGGCATAGCACCAGGGAAATTTCTAAACGAAGTCTTCTGTTTCAAATTCCGTACGAAGTCCCCTTTGACCCTAAACTCCCTAAAAACCCTAAAAAACACGTCGACCAAAAAACGTCGCAATTTTGTTTTTATTCCCAAAAACGATATCCAGCTTGACCCGGTGCCAGCTCTGCCAAGCCCTGCTAATGGTTCACGTTTCTCCAACTGTTGTATTTTCACAAGGTTTGATTCTAAAAAAAAATTTTTTTTCGAGTGAGCAACAACTCTCTGCTAGTCACGTGCTTGTCCAAGCTAATCATAAGCTTCCGTACCCGCAAAAACTAGAAAGTTCTTTATTAAAACAGGATTCGCAAACCGGAATCAGATATCGTTTACTTTTATCGCCTCATACGCTTAATTATGATCTCATTTTCACTATATGTCACTCAAACTTCAACCTCCGATCCGCACATTATGGAACTCTTCCGCTCGATATCGGTAATATCCGGTTCACCAATGAATTATCCGTCATGCGTTCGTGTGTGAAGGGACCCGTGGCATCGTGACCAGTTTCTGTTATTCTTCGCGAAGAGGAGAATAGTTCTCATAAGCAACTCATTTTTATTCAAGATTATCGTATTATTACTGACATTATCAATTTTGCTGAATAACTCTCTCCTATCACACTGCTGCGACACCATCAAATTGTATACAATCTCAATAAGCTCTCACTTCCTGCGTTTGTAGTCTCATACGCAATTGCACATATTCATAAATGTTCGCCGGCAAAGAAACGGTTTCTGAGCGTTCCTGTCATTGCGAAAAGAATAAAGAATATGAATTCGAAAAGGATCACCTGCTATAATGCGTCTTTGAAGTTGAGAATTCAGAAAATGTCATGGTTTGCAGATGATGCAATTATACATATCATGGATTGAGTATACTACATGGGCGACTGAGGACACCATAGTAACTCATGAGTTTGTCAAAGTCTCTACTAATTTTTGCATTTGTATGGTTGGAATTGACCATTAGCACGTTTGTGGCGTTTCCAAAATATACAGGGCAGCGAACATAAAAAGTGGTGAAAAAAACCTTCTCTACTTATCTTGAAATGATGTTATTCGATGTTATTCATTTTATTGCTTTAGGGTCAGAGCTTAGATGAGAACAATAATGAATTTGTTTTCGTCTTTAAGCGACATCTAGCTTCCTATCAAATGGGACCCGAAAGTTAATAGTAAGCGTACTAGTAACTTAACGTACTAGTAAAGTTACTAGCGCATAAATTTTTTATCCAGGACATGTCAAACTGAATATATCAATGGAAGATTTCAAACTAGAAATGATCGCTCGCGACTCAGAAAAAGCTGCGAAAGAGTTTAAAAGCTTCTACTAAAGCCAGTGGTGAACATTCTGAATATAGCCTTGGAATTTTATGCAAAATGCTTTTGTCCGTTAATCAATAAAACTTGATATATTTGGTGCAAAGTTATGTGAGACGCTTTGGAAGTTCTATTTCATTAGAAATGAGTATATTTGTTTGAAAGGTATTTGACCACAATATCAAATTTATCAATATCAGTTTGATTGTTACCCAGTTACTATACGACTCTTGTACTTGATATAAAGTTCAAGTAGCATGGAAGCCGTGGCACATATGTAGCTGCCGTAAATCGTAACAATATAGTCAATCCAACAATGAAGCGATGCTAACGCAAATCAAACATGTATGATTATTTTGGAATTAAAAACGCCATCCTTCTTTTTTCCTCCTCAGCTTGTAGATTTTACCCTCAGTGAAATTGAGAAAAAATCAGTGAAATATACTACCAATGATACATGAATTGCACTTTCTTTTCAGTTGATGATATCCCCCTCCCTTTGTTCTCTATAGACAACAGAGCGTTTCTAGAATATTTGCGGTCACTTGGATCCAATACTGTAGGAGAGATTCGCATGCATTAGAGGACTCCGTCTGTAATATCTCAGTTCTCCAGCATTCCATATCAAATATAGAGTAATGATGTATCTCACGGTAGATGTATTGTGTTACGGTATTTCTATCGTAACGTGTGGGACGCTCAACCTCTTAGTCCAACGAGATTTTTCGAGAAAATTTTTCACATTTTTTGCCTTTGAAAAATGCCTTTGCAACGACTGAAAACTCCGCATGTTCTTCTTCAACTTTACGGTCTACCATTTTCATTTCTGAACACTAGAATGATTTACCCACCTATTGCTCCTAATTGAGTTTATCAATCCGGTACTCACTGGAGACGAATACTTCAAAAGAATTCATTCTTTCTCGCTTGTCGAGTGAATTTGTCGCAAGACGGCGAAAGATTCACTTGACACTATAAAACTGGTCCGAAGCTAGTTCTACACTACATTGGACATTTGGACTCGTATAATGTTTAGAAAAAACTCGTTCTATAGTGCATGACCCTGCATGGTCAATTTACTGCCATTAAAAATCAAGAAAAAACTTGCATTCCAGCGTTTGAGCAGGAATTTCTAGACCACACAGTGTCAATTGTCAATTTGCGGGGTAACAGTTTTCTCTTTCTCTGTGTCTATAAAGTCCCATTTTGCTATAAAGTGCACTTGCTTGAGCTTAAGGGGCAACAAAAAAAACTTGAGCTCAAATACAGGTCAATACTTTTATAGCTGCGGGAATGAGGGAGGGGAAAAGGGGTAATTTTGGCGATTTTGGGAAATCGAAATATTTTTCAACGTTCTAGGCACTTTCGATGTTCTATATTTCCAGAAACCATACAATTGGAGTTCTAAGTTGTACTTCCTACTTGTTTATCATTGTAAATATCAACCGGAAGAGTATGACCTACAAAAAAGTCTGAAACATGTCTCCTATTGCGATCCTATGATTTGAACCGTTCAAGTCTGGTTTTGCAGTTCAATTCTCGTTTTGGCGAAAGCACTCTTTTGTATGTATATTTATGGCCAGTTCCCGAAGGCCAAACTGTTTTTTAGTGACAACTATAACTCGTTCGCGTGGTGAGTATACCATATGTATTATGGCTCCCGTTCATAGTAGCTGTATCTCTAAAAGTTCTCTTCAAAAGAAATGGTCTAGTCGTAGGTGTTCAAAAGATTCTATTCTGATTTTGATAGTCCTTAATAAGTGTTTGTTATCTTATAATTAAGTTTTAGAATAGTTTTTTTTTTCGAGTAGATTGTATGTCACCTTTCAAGTGGATCTAAATAATATGAACTTTTTTTTCGCCTGTCACGGCTTAAACAAAACTGTTTCTTGGCTTTGTTCGAATTTTATGATGACAAAAAGCTCATTTTAGCGCTCCAACGAGGCTAGAATTTTTTTGGCCAGTTGATTGCAAAAATTAGAGGTTGCGAATTATGTATTTTTATTATTTACATACAGGATTTCTTCAAATATCAACCGAATATTGCTTTCTCTCTTACGTTCAGTAATCGAATTTCTTTATAAAAATCGGTGTAGGACCTTTCTCTAATACGCTCTCCAAATTTTTTCTGCATAACTTCCATAATTTTTCTCTCGCCTAGATCTTACTATCTACCGAGCTAAAGTTCTAATCTTCAGAGCAATGACTATTTCTTTTCAGAAGTGGATGGATGGCAGTTTTGTGCAAGAGTTATCTGGTCCTGATGATAGTTCAGGGAGGTGGGCTATTGTTCTACTGTATCTGTGCTGTATCTATCAAAAAAGCTAATTATTTCAGCACTAAGTCTATCTGATACAATGACAGTTGAAGCAAAAAAGCTAAAATCTCATTATTATGAGTTAGACGCAGAAAAGCTCAGAGATCTTTGGCATAACGCAATGATTCGAGGTCTTATCAAGGTAAATCTCTACAACGGTTTTTTTGTTTCTTCTCCCATATTTTGAATTTTTCAGGCTCATGTAAAAGAGATCTTATCTTCACTTCCTCGTATAGAGCAAATAGTCTATAAACAATGTGAAAAAGATGCCAGAACTACGGTAGCTTTAGCAAAATGTGCCATAAGAGTGTTTGACGCTCGTGATAATGCTGTGGAAGAAGAAACACTTAATACTACTACGGATACCGTTCTTCTGAAGAACTTCACTGTACGACGAAGGCCTGACCCTAAAGCAGAAGAAGTTTTAGTGGAAGAAAATAATGCTCAAGCGAAAAAGAATGAATTCTTCTTGAAATACTCGATGTACTCAACGAGAACTAGGCTTCTAAACCCAATAAGGAGGCAAATACGTAGAAACAGGACAATCCTAGCATTTACGAACGAGGTTATAGAAAATAGGGAAAAAGAGATAAAAGAGGAAATCTCACAGATGTCAAGAAAAAGAAAAAGGAAAAGAAGGGATAATAGAGGTGAGTGATCCTTTTGAAATCACACTCCAATCAGTGCGATTTATTAAATTTTTTGTTTCAAGATGAAAGTGCTGGATCTTCTCCAAATCTGAGAAGAGTTGCTATGAAGTATGTTGGCAAAGTGCTTGGTAAGAAAATAATCTCAATTTCACTTTCTTGGGAATGATTTGGCAATTTTTTCATTTTTACCCCGTTGTTACCGTAACCATTCTCCAGGAAATCTTTGCAGGAGAAAAACGCGCCACCTCACATCTCAGCAATCTGCGCCTGATCCGAGACCATTTCAACAGAGTCGAAAAAATCAATAAATACTTCAAACATATGAACGAACAAAATAGAGGGTACAATTGTTTTTATATAACCTATGTAATAACTAAAAATTTCTTTCCAGAATATTTGAAAGCGCAGCACTTGGAATCGACAGCCGTACTCCAGAAATCACAAACAATGCCGTGCCCGTTATCGAACAAGTTCTCTCCATTGTTAATTCTTTTTCTGTGAGTTTACGAAACTATCTTACTTTCTTGCTCTTCCAGGAAAATAACCTTTCCATCCTTAGGCATCTAAGTCCGCACCGGGAAGGATGTCTATACTTTCGCCGAGAGTACTGTCACTTTTTCCCGAGCCATCACATTCGTCGAAGAAGCGGTTACTTTCACCGACATTTTTCAGCTTTCAAAAAGACGGATTTCTATCTCTGCCTGAACTATTCGACGTACGTAAGATTTTTTTCTCTCATATCGAAATGTTAAGAAAATTCAAACTTTCTCTCAATACTATCCCAAGGGATAGCCTTTCAAAAGGTACGGTAGTGGGCAAAGTTTGAATTTCTTAGCCAAATACGAACCTTGTGAGCTGTCGCAGCCTTTTTGTTTTTATGAAAGATTTTTAGATCATCACAACTAACCAAAGATATCAACAACTCATGGTAGATATTGTGATGGATATAAGTGGAGCTGGTGCTGTACTAGAGGTTAGTGGAAATCCCACGAATCTGTTGCAATATAATTTTCCCACTATCAAGAAACTCGTGAATGACCTGAGACCTGAGATTGAGGATGTGAAAAATGTGAAACTGCCTCTCGTTGAGCAATTATCGAAACGAGATATGGAATGGGCAAGGTCAGCAACCGTTATCCATCTCAAATTGCAACCAAGTTTCAAGATATACTTTGTTTAGAGCACATGATCTCTTCAACGAAGACCAAACTAAGCAATATCATGAAAAAGGTTATGCATTACTCACGGAAGACCAGCTCAATCTAATCTATAGCAAAAATGGTCTGTTATAGTATAGTGCGTTAGATTTCCAAATGTTGAATCTTCAGACCAAGATCTATACGGAATGAATGTGACAAGACTTGGAGCTATGTCCGAGTTGGAAAGAGTGCAGCGACTAGAAAGAGATATCAGAGCAATGGCAGCTTTAGATCGTCCGAAATGGCCGATGTGGGACAGCGGTTAGTCAATTTTATCTCTGAAAAATGCTATGAAAAATTGGTAAATGCTTATACAAAGAATAAAAATCTAATAGAAAGCCTAGAATGCACAACCACTAACACAAGGGTATAGCCATCGCCCGATGAACGCTGGTGGATGAATTCTAATTTGACCTGGAGCACGCGGATGCGGTGGAGCGCGGTAACATATAAGGCAAAATAAAGCGAAGGCTAAGAGTGTCCTGCTTCAGCGCAATCGGCCTGCACCGGTCGAAGTTTAAAGTCTTCCACTATGTGTCTATTGTAACGAATTAAAAAACTTATGAAGCTCTATGATTACGGTAAGAGAGGAAAAATTTGCAGAGACCCAAAAAGAAGTTCGTGTGCTTTGTTGCTAAAATTTGACTAAGGTTGTGCCAATCGTGGGCCATTCTGCATGAATGTAACGATATTCGGATAACTCCGAGCAGAACCGTAAATGCGGCAGTTTTTGCGCACTATACTTTTACCGACAAGCTGCAGGCCACGCAAAAGCCCTTTAACTTACTGTAATGCAAAATGTCCTTCTCTCATTCTGCTGCCTTATAGGTGCTAAACGATTCTTGTTTCAATTTTTTTAACTTTCCCAATTACTTTTTTATAGTGAGACGTCAAAAACGCCAAACGCACGACACAGATCCGGGATATCCCAATTTACCTGGCGAAGTTCAGCCAGAAGGCGAAACACATGCCGAAGGGCATGCGGAAGGAGAAGAACATGAAGAACGTATCAATGGAGTCTTGTATGAAACTCTTCGCCCATACGCTTTTACCACATTTGTTGGAAAAGGTGGCGTAATGGAGGCGTTTACATTATCCCCTCATGCTTTTGTGACAGAACTCGCCTATCCCGAAGCGCTAATGGTGAGTTGGAGAAAACTACAGTAATCATTCCCCTGATTATAGTTCCATCATACGGTACTTTAGCTGCAAACTCTATCACCTCGTGCTTTCGTGGCAACCATCCTTTCCCCGGCAGCTCTTATAGCTCGAATCCTTTCTCCAACAGCTCTGAGAGCTGAAGTTCTATCACCTCGAGCTTTGCACACTTGGATACTCAGTCCGGAAGCGCTAGTGAGTTTCATACTTTCTGCAATGTATCATTTTGTTGTAAACAAAACTGCGCCCAGAGTTGTCGGTCCACCACCGTTCCAGTGCTGTGCTAGCGTCGTGGCGCAACTTTATCGATTGTGGAGCAGGTCCCAAGGGATGCTCCTCGCGTCGGCACGGCGTTGGCACGCCGCTGGAACTGCGCTGGCACAGGCCGGCGAGCAACTCTGTACGCTGTCAAAGACACGCTTGAATCATAAAGCGAATGTATAGTTCTTTTGGCATCTCCTTATTCTATCCTCTGTTATTGAACATGAATGCGTACTAAGACCTAAAAAAATTTCCAGCTTGTCAAAACTTTCCTCAAATAAAATCATGTAAATTTTAGGTCGCTGAAGTGCTTTCTCCACGATTTTTAGACCCTCGTGTACTGTCACCAGAAGCATTAGTTATTGATGTTTTGAGTCCAGGTATCCGGGAGTCTTCTTTTTTATCTATTTCTTTGTTTGTTTTTTGTTGACTTTTAGATGTGGCAAAAGTAAACTAAGAATGAACAGTTGGCATAAGGAAACCTAAAAAGCCACAATTTTGAAACTGGAAAAAATTGATATGGTTGTGGTTTAGCATCTACTGAAACAAAAGTCATAAAGAGAATAGCAGCAAAAGTGATATGAGAATTTTCTCTAAAACACTTTAATCCACACTTCAGGATTTCTTTCTCCCCATGTACTCTCCTCCGAGAATATCGGACTCATCATACTGAGCCCAAATATATTGTCCCCTCGTATAGCAAGTGAGGAAAAGCTTCTAGTTGAGGTAAGCTAGGGATATCCGTATCTGCGAGAATTTATTTGTTCTATACTTCGCTTCAGATACTTTCACCTCACATTCTTGGTGGTCCACATACCCACGAAGAAGCGAGCCACGAAGTTGTTGAGGTCGGAGCCCACAGTCCAATCCGTGAAAGCACAGAAGTGGAACATGAAGAGCACGAGGCTATACATAGAGGACATAGTCGTGAAGAGGAGGAAGAAAGGGAAGAGAAGGAAGACAAATACAAATCTATGTAGTTAAATTGTCCAAACAGTTATTTCGTACTGTGAGCTTGCATCTTCAAACGTGTATCTTTCGTAATTGTAGCTTGTTATTTTTTTATGACAATATTCAGGAATGTCTGGGATTGTTAAGTGATTGGGACATTTTGACTGAGCCGTAACCCAAGCGGCAGCTCGGATGAGCCATTCGTGGCCGAGATATTTGACTCGAAACTCCTGCCCACTACCGTCGTGGATGCTGATTGGCTCAAAGGAAACTACGGTATGGGTAAGAGTTCAGCGCCAAATATTCGGCCACAATTGAACAATGGAGAACTCGTGGCTGAGCATTGGCTTAGTTAGCACTCCCCCTTCTGTTCCCAAATAAGAGATCAGCTACTCAGCCTAGACGCTGCTCTTGAACCAGACTGTTTCCCTAGATTTGCACATGTAAGTCCATAGAAGATTTTTTTAGTTTTCTTTTATGCTATTTCTCGTACTAGCTAATAGATCTTATTATATTCCATAGATCTGAACTTTATTGACATTCCGTTACAAGTTCCTTCCATATGATCTGCATAGTCCGTCCATGACACATATTTTCGGTGCAATATTGTTATATGTGTATTTTTTGTATGTAGTGTATGTAGCTCATCTCTTTCGGACAAGATCATGAGCTTTCTGAACAACTGGTAATTTCTTTGTCACATAATGGTTCCTGATGAATAAATTGTATAATGGTACTTCATCCCTATGTGCGGCTGCTCATCTTTCATCTTTAAGTCTATCCCCATACTTTGATGGAAAGCCGTTATATTAAACCAGCTACAAGGCGGAACTCGTCAAGCGTGTTTTGGAATTCTGTAATCTCAGGGCATAATTTCATGAAACCCAGTAGATCACTTATGCTTGAACCCTAAATGACAAACAAGCTACCGGACGCGCTAAAGTGCTCAATCACGACATTGGGACGAGAGCGAAATTTGCAAAACCATTCTGTGTACTGGATTTTGAACAACTGTTTAGCTCGAAGGTCGAACGAAGGTCGTGCCCCATTTCTCTAGCTGGATGCTCACACCATGTTTCACATGAATGCGGTCTTCATCTCATATTTTCTACATAGTAAGGAACTGGGTCCAGGACTCCTCGTTCTCACATGAATGTAGATATTTTATTTCCTACATAGTAAGAATCTGGGACCGAATACAATAAGGAACTGGCCATTAGAAAGAAAGCGCGTCCCAAGTGAACAGTGGAGTGCAAAAAAGAAAGGAAAAATGCGGAAAATTGCGTGCGAAGGAGGAAATCGTTCAACGGAACATGAAATCCTGAATTTGGGCTTTGAATGAAATGCACAGTGAACCGACCCATAATTGTTGAATAAGGTAAACTTGTTAATTCATTATAGCTTTGTCAGACGAAGGTCAGAGCAGAAAGTTTCAAGAGCTTTTTCTATACCTGCATGTCTGTTTAACAGCACTTCTGAGCTTGTGCACATTGTTGTTTTCATATGATAGAAATGGTTTTACTACATTGAGACAAAACCTTTGACGTAGATATAAGTCAACAACATGAAAACTAAAACGATGGCTAGCGAGATCAATGTGAAGGAGAAACCAATTGGGTCTTCCGAAGTTCCATTCAGTGGAGCAAAGACCTTCGACACAGCTGGTGGAGGTAAATCTAAACAAAATGATGCAAATACAAGGTGTCCGAATATTTGCCTACTGTTTGATTGTTAATAACTCTCTTATGATGAAGTTTTTCGAAAAGTTTTAGGTACCCTTTTGCAAACTGGCTTCAATTTAGAAATTGGCTTGGAAACTTCAAGCATACGGTGTCACTGTGAAAAAGCTGCCGTTTCAAAAATTTCCAAAAAAAGTGAAAACTTGTATAATAGGGTTTTCAGGGACGCTGAGTTCAATACTCAGCTATGTACGATTGCAAAGCTTTCTAAACGTAACCGCACTTTTTAGGAATATTGAAAAATAAACGGCTGTTACTGCTTATCCCGCATAAATTTTTAGAGCATTATGATAAGTTGCGAACTCTACACTTAGCATAGGCTACTTTAAGTAGCTAGATGTGAGAGTTTCCAGTTAGTTTTGTCTTCTTTCTGAGGCAAAATATGACTTTTCATGGCTCAAACCCTCTTCAAAGTTCCTACCGTAATCTTACAGTAATGAAGGAGGATCGTAATTCACTCCATACAGTAAATCCAAGTTGAAGAAAAAAAATCTATAATGATACCCGAAGCTTCTTGAAAGACTTCATTACAAGAGAATATTAACAATTAAACAGTAGGCACATCTTTTTGGGAAACCCTGTATACTTGTAATCAGCGTAAAGACTGACTGACCAATTGTGATTGAAATTCTGCTGTGCTTTCCCTCGGAAATTTTTCGTTCACTTCCACAAACGACAGAGTACTGCAAGCTTCGACTGAAATAACATTTCTCATGCCATAGCACAAGCTTGAAAATCAAAATTTCTGACTGTTTGACTAAGCTCTGATGCAAATAACTTGATATCTGCTCAAAAATTGACAGACAGAAATCTATGGCCACCAAAATATTTTTTGAATACAATATAGTTCAGAAATTGTGCAAAAAAAAGCAATGATTGCCTGCGTCAGGTAACACTAATTTCAAAGTATCGTTTACAATAAGGACCAATTTGAGACAAACTGGGAAAGTGAAAATCGGAAAAATTTAGTGGAAAATTACTAGCTACCATACTACCTTACTCAGGCAAACACTTATTCAAAAAAAGATATGCCGAGCCCAGCTGGGTTAAATGCTGCCTAGGCACCGGTCATACCCCACGCAATTTCGCCGGTTTATCCTCGCGCACGATCTGGCGGGTTGCCAGATGACTGTGGATCCACCGCGGCGGAATGCGGGCGATTTGGGCACGTGGCTTCGGGTTGGCGTGAGGAATTACGGTCTGTGTCAACGATGTACTCCCTTGCCGATCAGCTCAAGCGCAACGCAGCCCCGCGGAGCCGCGTTTGCGCGCTGCAGCTTGAGCATTTCAATCCGGCGCACCGATCTGAGATCGCAACGTACTGCCCGCGCGCTGCGGAGGCGTAGCTACTACGGAAAAGGGAGCACATGACTGGTTGACACCGATTATAACTGCTTATAGAAATTGTGCTCACGATATTTTGTACAATCATAGCTCACGCGGAGACTGGAATCGCGTCAAGTATGACGAAGTTTTTTTTGCACAAATTGTGAGCGGTATTGCACTGCTCAAATAGTAATACGAAAACGGCTTCCAAAACGGTTAATTTTGTAAAAAAAATTCTAATTTGCATGCAGTAAATTAGAAGTGTTGATCCAGTGAGTGTTCTAAAATTGAGTGTCATATCGTTGAAAGCGGCACCTAGATTTGCATTGATGCTTTCTCTAAGCCTGCAACAATGCGATAGCTCAAGTCTTCTATCGACATAAAGGTTTGAGCATTATGATATTTTATTAATTCAAAAACTTTGGTGTGATGACTAATTTTGAGCAGAATAGTGCAGTGAATTTTGCATTCTAACCTTTTCGCCTAAATTTTGCACTTTGTATTTGCAAACAGAACAATGAAGAAGCCCGAGAATGACAAAAACGTGGCAGTGAATCGACATGAATTTGAAACACTAGCAGCTTCGAGACGTAAATATCAAATTTTGACAGTCTGTACTCATACCTAAGCAGTGATGATATGTAAAATGGTAAAAACTTGCTCATCATATCCGAGTTCATCTTTGAGAACTGCATCGCGAAGTATTCTTTCTCTCAGAGTAGTTGGATCGAATTCGCTCAGTGAACGAGATAGAGTAGGACATATCGTACTTACGGGAACGAACGGCACATCGGAAGGAACTGGAGAAGATATCTGCAAAATCACTTGTTGATAATAACTCAAATCTCCGTAATTACCTTTCAAAATTTTTTCTTTCAAAACTGCAGATATTCATCTCAAATACAGGGTGTTCCAGCCTAACGTTGATTGTTAATAACTTTCGTGTCATAAAGTCTTCGGAGAAGCTTCACCATTTTATAGAACTGCTTTCAGCTTAAATTTGTCGCATAGTGCAGGCAATCTCTCTTCATTACTGTAGAACTACTTTAGGAACTTCAAAGAGGAGCTAAGCCATAGAGGACTCAGAAAGGAGATAGAGCGACCTGAAAACTCTTACACTGGGCTAATCAAAGTTGCTGATTCTGAATATGAAGTTTGCATCTTATTATAATGCTTCAAAAAGTTTTGCCAGGTACGACGTAGCAGCCCTTTTTTCGATGTTGATAAAAAATGTGGTTACACCGCTTAGAAGGCTTCCGATTTTGTACATAGTCCATTAGTAAACTCGTCCTCGTAAAACCTACTACAATATTAGAATTTTTTGTGATCATTCAAAATGCAGCTTTCGCAGTGACGTCATAAGCCCAAATCCTACTGTAATGTAACTGTAATGAAGAATCGGTAATTTGCGCTATACTGTGAATCTAAGTTAAAGCCAGCTCTACGAAAGTTAACCCTAAGGCTCGAAAAATTATATGACAAGAGAGTTATTATTAATCAAACACTAAGCACCTTTTCTGGGACATCCTGTATTTCTCTAAGCGTTTGTGAATTTGAGCTCAATTTCTATGTTCAGAGTCAAGTAACTAAAACTACACCTGTATGACAGGAGTTGGTGGATGCGATGGCAGTAACATTAAAGTGAGATTTCGCATCCGTCTGACCTCGCAGCGATGATCCCAAAATTGCTACGGTTCAAATCCTGAGCGTAGACCGCATTTTCTGGTGACGAATTTTCCTTAAGAAAGGAGATTAGAATGTCGGTCAGACTTCGGTGAGCTCTCTCTAAATCACGAAACTAATCTTCAATTTATTCTGCAATTGAATTTACGATTTGTTAGAGACTTTGAAAAGATGACACAAAAATCCCACACCGGAAGAAAGATAGCATAAAAACGTCCGGACCGGAAAGACCTGTGAACTAGACGAAAGCTAAAACCCTTTTGTTTTTTAGATAAGCACCC